ATCTTTTAAGTCCTAGACACATACAAATTGTATACATTGTTTTGTGCTGTCATTTAAATTCCATGTAAGTTGGAGGAATTCAAAGTTTCAATAAATTTTATTAATTTAATATAATCGATCGCTTTTAGCGATAAGGTTGCCTATTGTTTTCTCACTGTGATTATTTCTTGTAATTGTTTATATCTAGAATAAATTTACTATTGTAATCTTTTGGAGGAAACAATAAAGAGTATCTATCTATATATCTATAATAATAAATGTGAAAGTTTGTAACTGCCCATATTAATTTTTCTTAAATATTTATTTATTTATATATTCTTTATTGCACTTGTAAGTTACATATAAAGTAATGTATTTATAAATGTTGTGAGCAAGGGTGGACTTATCTCTGACAGAGATCTCTTCCAGTCAACCCAGTACAGTGAGAAAGCATTTCGTTAGCGGGCAGCTGAAGTGCTACAACTATTAACACATAAACACATAAATAAATAAAATATTAAAATATATAATAAAATATTACACATATATTTTAATACCTACCTACTTATACAATAGATGTAAACCAGACCAGAGAGACTTTGTACAAAAGTCGATTGCTTGGGTACCTCTGTCCCATTCGTGTTTCAACCGTGAAGCAGTTGTGTTTGCATAACTGTGTTTCGGTTTGAAGGATGGGATATGGCGTGAATTTACTGGGTACAGAGGAACAACACCTGAGTCCTCAGGAATGGCAACGCATGGGGGGTATCATGGACGAAACAGTATACTCTGTTCATGTATGATATACATGTCATGGTACTGCTCATGTCTATAGGCGACAGTTACCACTTTCCATCAGGTGGACCGGCCCCTTGTTTGTTAAGTAGTATAAAAAAAAAAAAAAAAAAAAAAAAGATAAATAAAATATTAAAATATATAATAAAATATTACATGAATACATACACTATAAATACATATAATACCTACTTATACAATAGATGTAAACCAGACCAGAGTGAGACTTTATACAAAAGTCGATTTCTTCCAGCAAACCCAATATGTGTTTCAACCGTGACAGTGTGTTTAATGGTTGTTTCAGTCATAAGGTGTACCAATCGACTTAAATGTTATAGTTAAAAATAAATAATATCTTTATATATTTATATTATATATATATATATATATATATATATATATATATATATATATAACTGCTAAATATAATAAGCGACAGTTACCACTTTCCATCAGGTAGACCGTCAGTTTGTTTGCCATTCTTAGTATAAAAAAAAAGATGTTAAAATAAATGAATATACTCTTTCTTTATTCTTTATTGTACACAAAAGGTTATTGAAATGTAAAAACAAACATAATAGTGCACAAGGGCGAGCTTATCTCCAATAGAGATTTCTTCCAGCAAACCCAATATGAGAAAAGTGACATACATTAATAGTTACAGTCATAAGATATGTTGTACAATGGGATTATGCATGTTATATTAAAAATAAATAGATAAAATATCTTTACAATGGAAAGGACAGATAGGTATAAATAAAAATATATATATATATAAGTAAATACATATAAATATATATATATATATATTATATTTATATTATATATATATATATATATATATATATATATATATATATATATATATATATATATATATATATATATATATATATATATAATTTACTGCGCCAATTATACAACGGGCCATCCAAATAGAACCTTGAACAGTCATATTAGCCTTGAATTTGTACCGCGAACTATACGTGAATGTACATAAGACATGATATTAATTTATCAAAGTACATAGTACTCTGTTTGTATAGAGTTGGTACGCGAATAAACTTACCATTTATGACCTCGGTGGTCTAGCGGATAAACACTCGGCTTCTGATGGCCGTGGGTTCGATATAGTACATACAAATATTTGTATTCATACTTTTTTATTTATTTATTTACACTTTATTGCACCAAGTAAAAAGAGAAGTAACAAATACAGTAAATATTAATGAGAAGTGATACAAAAGGCGGCCTTATCGCTAAGCAATCTCTTCCAGACAACCTTTGGATAGAGGACATTGAGAAAAAGACAAAGGGTAGGTGACGCACTATTATATAAATATTATCATATACAAACATATATACATACCTACATACACATACATATATAATATATACACAATATATACATAACATACACATACTTAACAGTACACATACAACATTTTTTGTTTTCTTTTTAACCACAAATGTGGCAAACAAGCATAGAGACCGTCTGATGGTAAACTGTTACTGTAGTTTCTATATTTTGGTATAAGTATTTATGTCTGTTTGTATTTGTTTGGATGATTTTTTTGTCAATGGACGATAATGAAATGATAACCTCGCCTAGGCTGAGAGTGTGCGCTGGCGGGGCACCAGTGAGGGGTGATAGATGAGAATGAAAAGGCAGTCAGCCCATCGTGATGATTACACCTGGAATTCAGCATGATGGTTTCCAAGGAGGACTGTGAGGAGGTTGACCTGACAGGGTGTATTGTTAGCAATGGGGCTGATAGTTCCCATTACTAACAATCAATCAATTTGGTTGGTTTATACGTATAGTATATATTTATTTAGAAAAAAATAATAAAATCTTTTTGTAATATCTATACATAATATATAATATATAAAGATAAAATATTTGATTGTTTAGATAGATAAATAGATATATAACTTATTTGCATTATATAAATAATTTAATATAACTATAAAGTACACAAATAACATTAGACGTAAATAGACATATACAAATAAATGCTGTATATTATTTTAAAAAATCTCTCTACCCATGCGAAACCGGGCCAAATCACTAGTTTATTTATATGTCGCTACCAATGAGTTATCATCATACGATACTTGATTATATATTTTGACTATACAGCGAAAGGACATAGGCTAATTTTTAACTGTGGATCGATTTATCCGGTTAGTAGGACCAAAAATTACTCAATTCAAATGATCGCGGTATTGTTTTAAATTTCATGCCACTTACACCGTGGCGTCTAACAAAACATGATGCTTGCGCATTCATTAACGCTATATTTTTAAGTGATTACTATTGTTTTCGTCTTATCTACGAACAGTTTTAGTCAATTATCTTCTTTGTCCTCTATTTAGTTTTTTTTTTTTTATGAAATTGGGGTGACGTCACTTATTTACTCTCCATTTTAAATAGTACTAAATCTTAGGTTATATAGATAGAGCCTCAAGCCTCAAAAACGGGTCAACTTTTTGTCAGTTAATTGTCAAATTAGCTGACGTTTTTTATCGGTGTTCTATATACTTGCGCATAAAATGTATCTTGATATATTATTTAATAAATAAAATGAATGATCACGCATTGAAAAGATGCAGAAATTATAAGACAAAATAAATATAAAAGTTATAAAGGAATCACTCATAACTATTTATCACGCAAAATTGTATGAAAAAGTTGACCCGTTTTTGTCGAAGCATTTGTAAGGAGACACAGTATCTTTATAACCTAATGACTAATTGTATTATATTTTATAGGATGAGTCTTTATAAAAAGACTATCTTGCCACAAAAATAAATTAAAACACTAAATCTAAATGGTGTTTAACAAATACAGTGATTAAATCATGTTTAGTCTGTATAATAAGTTTATTTATATTTTTAGGTCTCTTGTTATTTTTATTAAGACTTTCCTTTATTTAGACATAAACAGACTTTTATAATAAGACACTTAAAAATGAATCGGACAACTGTCAGTCGCATGTTTTTTTTTTTTTTTGTATCAAGACGGCAAAAACTTACGTACGTTTTACTACGTCTATGAAAAAAAAATACGCTAGGCAACAAACGTATCATTTTTTTATGCAACTTAGAATGACAAACAAGCTGACAGCCCACCTGATGGAAAATGGTAACCGTCGCCTACAGACATAAGCAGTACCATGGACATAACAGAGTATACTGTTTCACCCATGATAACCCCCATGCGTTGCCATTCTTGAGAACTCAGGTGTTATTCCTCTGTACCCAGTAAATTTACGCCATATCCCACCCTTCAAACCGAAACACAGCCATGCAAACACAGCTGCTTCACGGTTGAAACACGAATGGGACAGAGGTACCCAAGCAAACGACTTTTGTACAAAGTCTCCTCAAGATACATTTTACGCATTAGTATATAGAATATTGATAAAAAAAGTCAGCTAATTGTCAAATTACTGACTTTTTTTGCTGACAAAAAGTTGACTCGTTTTTGAGGTTCGATGCTCTATCTATATAATCTAAGGAAATTTAGTTTACACGTATTACATGAGACGGAAAACGTTGTAGGCTATTTTTTTATCCAAGTCAGTAAATATATCCCGATCATACAGACGAAGTCGCGGGAAAAAACTAGTAAATAATACTATCAGGTAATGATAGTGTGATTAAGGTTTTTAGAGAAAATTGTCGATGTCGTATAGAAAGTCGGAAGTAAACAGTAATTTCTGACGGACAAAACGAAAAAAAGAACCATCGAATTAAGTCGTCTCTGAATTAATTCGATGATTCTTTTTTTGTTTTGTCCGTTGCGTTTTGAAATTATTAAATTATGTCATGAGATATCGTGACATCCGCTGAAATTTGAACAGGATACCTAGCGGATTAAGTTATAATTACATTAATGAATTTACAAAACATTTATTTACTTATTAGTCCTGCGACTGCGTCCACGTGACCTAGTCTAGAGGGTCTACCGTGAAATGTTTTCCGAAATTCGGAGCCAAACTTTTGAATAATTATTTATTTACTTATTTACACTTTATTGCACCAAATCAAAATAAAAATCCCGTAATTTTAATGACAAGTGATACAAAAGTGGGTCTTATCGATTAACTCCAATTTTTTAAATTCAAATATCGAACCTCTATATAACTTTTTTCTTTTCGAACAAAAGAGGCCAGTAATTATTCATGTAATTTACTTTTCTTTTTAATTTTGCCTTTCAGGACGGACAGGGAACGTTTGCAGCGTGGATATGGATTGCCCTGACAATGCGTTTTGCCGACAGAGCAGCTACTGTGTTTGCAAAGATGGATTCGTATATGCGGCTGTTAACAGCACACATAAGGGTTGTTTGAAAGGTAAGTGATATTTACAGACATATGTAAAACATAGTAGATGTTAGAGACCCGAAATTATAATTTTTCCATGTCTATCTGTTTGGATGTCTGTGTATTCAACATATTAAACTTTAACTGTTCACTGCTGAACATATGCCTCATCCAAGGGGTTTTGCCAGTAGTTGCCACACTTGGCAAGGCGGATTGGCAACCTCAGTTAGACTTTGGAGATGTTTTAAGATCGATGCTACTGCCTATCCCTCGCCCTCTCTTAGTCGCCTCTTACGCCCATGGGAAAAGAAGGGGTGGCCTATTCTATTCTGGGACCACACGGGAATCCGTGTTACAAACCATCGTTTATGAAACTTTACAACATATACCAAGATCTTTTTTATAAATTTTTTTTTTATATACAACTTAGAATGGCAAACAACCTGACGGCCCACCTAATGAAAAGTGGTAACCGTTGCCTATAGACATGAGCAATACCATGGACATAACAGAGTATACTGTTTTACCCATGAAACACAGCCATGCAAACAACTGCTTCACGGTTGAAACACGAATAGGATAGAGATACCCAAGCAATCGACTTTTGTACAAAGTCTCCCTCTGGTAATATATTTTTTTTATAAGATTTTTTTTAGACTAACACTTTTAAATGTATGCTGTATAACTTCGTTAAGGGCAAACAAGCAAGTTTTACAATTCATATAGTTATAAACATGAAACAGAAAATAATCTGAAACCCAGAGTAGATGTTAATTGACGATTCTGAAAACTAAAGGTTTACGACTAGATGGCGTGGTGCGATATCTCCAAGACTAATAATTATTTTTTTTCAGCCGACTAAAAAGCTAAAAACATTTTCAATTCGGTTGCATTTTTTTACACTTTGTTACCTCATTACTCTTTCAATTGTAAACCAATTTGGAAAATTCTTTTTTTATTAGAAACGACTTACAAATTTTATCAAAATCCGTTCAGGAGTTTCTTTTAAGTGCTCTTTAGAGCAAAATAACTAGTTTTGCCATAATTGAAGTCGGTTTTTTTTGTGTAACACATTTTTTTTTTTATTTTCCAGAGGGACGCTTCGGTGAGAGTTGCGCTCAGCATATTCAGTGCCACTCGACTATGGGTGTGCACGCGCAGTGCTCGCCCAATGGTCTATGCGCGTGTATGCCGAACGCGCACCTCGAAGACGAGAGATGTTATGAAACGGCGGGTAGGTGAAATTTTCAATTTATCGTTATACGAACTGAAATCATTGAAGCGACTACAGTATGGGGTTCTTCAAAAAGGGCGTATTAAGATTTCTTAAGTGTAAGCAACGTGCACGTGACACCACTTGTGTTACAAGCGTCCAAAGGCGACAGTGATTGTTTACCATCAGATGTATATTTGTCACATTTGTGGTATAAATAATGGCGAAAGCGGATAACTACACCACATCTCGCGTTGTCTATAAGTATGTATACCAAGGACAACTTGTCCGACTAGGTAAATCCAACTTCGACCGAGAGGTCAACCAACGAATCCAATTTGGTTGGGCAGTGTTTGGGAAACTACACCATATCTTCTCATCCAAAATACCTCAAAATTTATAGCTGTCTTGCTAGTGATTAGCTATGGAACACTAACATGGGGGGAGAGGATCGTTAGTAATGGGGAGGTTAGTCCCCACTGCTATCATTATACCCTGTCAGGTCGACCTCCACGCAGTTACCCCTGGGAACTATCGTGACTAATTTACCATTGAATTCGTCACAATATCACATATCACCTCTCACAGGTACCCCGCCAGTGTACACCGATAGCGCAGGCGGGGTTACCATGCTATTTTCACCTATAAAAAAAAACACTAACATGGACCTACACGGTTGCCCGTATGCAAAACCTTTAAGTTCCTCAGTGAGCTATGAAGAGGGCTACGCTCGGAGTTTCTTTGCGTGACATAATCCAAAATGAGGGTATCTTAAAAAAAATTACTATAAAAAATTCATATATTTAACTTTATTTGAAAAAATATAGTCTTAAAAAAAAATATTACCACATCCATCACACTGTCATATCCAACCGATCAAACCGAAACCCAGTCATGCATGCAACTGGTTGGCGGTAAAGTCACTAATGGAGCAAAGTTTTTTACTTAAATTATTATTAATTTTAATTCACGTCTTCGTTCGCGCGACACTGGATATTTATAAGAAATATCCTATATATCTTCTCCTTCTAAAATAGCACCTGGGGGTCTACCATGAAATGAAATTCCGAATTCTCGAAGTCAATTTCGTATTTTGCTCGTTCGTCATTAATCCCACCTTTATAGTCCAAAGGAACGAACGACATTTTAATATTTTTACACAGTGTAATTTTGATATCAAATTTGTATTTCGTTCGGCCTCGAAATTTCGAATAATACATACATACATATCTGTCACGCCTGTCTCCCATTAGGGTAGGCAGAAATAGGTAGGTATATTATTTCGAATAATATTTTATGGTTAACCCCTCTGTTATCTAAATTTCATACCAATCAGATCCAATCCAGGCGCCAAAGATGTATCAAACAAACTCACTTTTACAATTATAAGTAAGAATGTTAAAAAGTAAAATATTTGTCCCCAGTGGTCGGTGAACGGTGTCTTGTGGATCAGAATTGCTACCTGGGCCAAACGGGACCGGACCGCCAGGCGTTCTGTGTCCGCGGCTATTGCACCTGCCAGCTACAATACAGCCCACGGGACAATGGTACCAGGTCGGTAAAAAAAATATAATAAACGATGCTCCAATAATATAAAGTCAATGCTTTGAAATTTGATATTTGGTTGTAACATTTGTGATCGACGGATTTATAGAATAATCATTTAATTTTTATTTATTTATTTATTTAACTCTTTATTGCACCATAAATAAAAATATACAATGACAAGTGAATAATTCAAGTGAAATACAGTACACATAAATACAGATTGAAATATACACATAAAGGTACAAAAGGCGGTCTTATCGCCAAGGCAATCTCTTACAGACAACCTTTATTTATTTATTTAGTGTTTGGTTGTATAAAGTAAACAAACATTATACTACATACATATGTATTTTACCAGAGTGAGACTTTGTACAAAAGTCGATTGCTTGGATACCTCTGTCCCATTCGTGTTTCAACCGTGAAGCAGTTGTGTTTGCATGGCTGTGTTTCGGTTTGAACGGTGGGATATGGCGTGAATTTACTGAGTACAGAGGAATAACACCTGAGTCCTCAGGAATGGCAACGCATGGGGGGTGTTATGGACGAAACAGTATACTCTGTTATGTCCATGGTACTGCTTATGTCTATAGGCGACGGTTATCGCTTTTCATCAGGTGGACCGTCAGCTTGTTTGCCATTCTAAGTTGTATAAAAAAATTATGATCTGTCATCAAAAATTGTGGAGTGATTATTAAATACTGTTGCAAAAATTGTGACAACTAAAATATAAAGTTTTTACATAAAAACTCTCTTAAATCGTATACTTCACTTATTTACATGAATGGGCGGTAGAATTAAAAGAAATACTATTCAAATGTGCTTAAATTTAATTCTTTTTAGGGTTCCGTATCAAGAGATACAACGGAACCCTTATGGTGCGTTTTTGTCCGTTTGTTCGTTTATCACAGCGTTATATCTCATCATCCACTAATGCTATCGACTTAAAATTGGCAACCTAGTGAAAAAAAAACATCCAATTATGTATCTCATTAATATTCCTGCAAAATTTCAAAAATATACACACAAACCTTTGACGGAACATCCTTTAAAAACTAGATGCGTTCGCGACGCAACGTTGGGCGAGCCGTGTGAAGATCAACTGCAGTGCGCCGGCGCAGGACTCCAGTGTCAAGGCACGTGCCGTTGCCGAGAACGCTGGGTCGCCAACAACCACACCAACTCGTGCGTCGAAGGTCAGCCTACCATCTTTACTTTTATGCAACTTTTAATAGCAAATGAGTTGAAGACACATCTGAAGAGAACCATACCATGAATGTAAAAGGACCCCTGTATCGCCCGTGGTACCCCTTATGACCCTATAATATGTGGTAATTTTGCTGCCACATCCTAACTTTCCCTCTGAGCGAGAAGGGATTGTTAAGCATGGGGATTGGTAGTCTCATTGCTAGCAATACACCCTGTCAGGTCGACCTACTCGCGGTTCCCCCTGGAACCTATTGTATTCTATTCCAAGTGAATTCATCACAATAGGCTACCAGACCTGCCTTTTCATTTTCACCTATCATCCCTCACTGGTGCTCGCCAGCGTATACTGTTAGCGCAGGCAGGGTTACCATTCCATTATCATCCATTAAAAAAAACTCTCCCTCTTTCTTAGATTTGTAGGTTCCTTGATTATATTTAGACTGTTGTCTTAAGGAAGTAAGTCCTTCTCTTAATGAGGAATTCTTGAGCTACACAGTAGGCCGTTAATTTGCTGACATAATCTTCAGCTTTTCATTATTTATTCTCGAATATTGGCCTCTTGAAGAGACTGTTACAAAGAACAGTTCTTAGCTATTTGCATCCATAAGCAAGACGATTTAAAAGATCGATAATAAATTAAATTGAGGGTATCGTAATAATCTTCATAGCATAATGATGTCGTGTTTGAACAGCGGTGAAAGCCCTGAACGACCCATGCGAGTACGACGTGCAGTGTGCGGGGCTGGTGGGCGCGGGGGATTCAATGCCGGCGGCGAGCCTAGCGCTGTGCCTCGGCGGCACCTGCTCGTGTGCATACAGCGCACACGCAGCCGGCTCCCCACCGCGCTGCTGGCCGCGCCGCCGTCCCGGCCAGGACTGCAGACGGGACGAGGTACATCTACCACACTAGCTCAATCTCTTTCACTCACACATGCCCCTGTATACCTACAGTGTACACAGGAAAGTCTGCAAACATGACAAGGTACTTACATTAACTTGCTCTCACTTACATCCTTGTACATCTGCAAAATACACGAGGATTGTAAGCGGGACAAGGTTTATCACATTAACTATCCCACATACACCTACAGCTATTTATTTTTTGAGACTCACACGTGAACTGCTGTCGGAACGAGATAACACCATACTAAGTTCTTTATACTCAAATGTACTGGTGGATCTTTATGGGACAACCTCAATCTCTCAAAGCGTAGCGGTTTTTTGTATTAATTGCCGCATGCATTCTTATGTAAAATGTGAATACTATAACTATCAGATGGCAATTGTGAGTAGCTTTGACGTGGTCTAGTGTTTTGAAGTCATGCTCACTAAAATGTCCAGACTTGTGGCGGCGTGGTGGGCCGGGTCATTGGGCTCCCTAAAATATGGTCGACGCAGTGATGGCTGGCTCATCCGTCATACTCGTGAACGGGTGCTGCTACTGGTCTGCTCTAATCACTATGACTGATTTCCTCTTATTAATTGTTTAACCAGTTGGTTATGTATTCAATTTTTTTTTCTTTTTGAGATTTAATTGAATTAGTGCTAATTGGTGGTTTGTATTCACACAATTAAACTTAAAAATGTAAAATAATAATAAAATTATTTAAAAGAGCATCACGCCAGTTTCGTGATCGTTCTTCTTGTGATGAGACAGCTTTCCGAACGAGCGGTAAATTAAAAAAAATGTAATGACTTTTCAAAAGTGCTTCAATGTAAGTTTATTTGAATAAATGATTTCTATTCTATTCTATTCTATTCTATTCTCACACAGACTTGCAAGTGTTCATAAACCTATAGGGTATACAGAGAGAACAGCAGACTGAATAATGTGCATAACTTTCTCTTTCACTCATTTTCACACGCACGTACCCACACATGTACGCACCCAAATTCGTACGCAATTCCCACACACTTTACAATTATATATATTATTATTATTAAATACTCCCGAATACTTTATAATAATTTATTATCATCTTAAGTCTTCTTTTATAATCTTATTTTCTTACATTAGTTTATCACAAATAGTTACTATAAATCGATCAAGTCATACTACTAACTAATACATACATGAAGTTATTTAAATCTAAATTTATTTTCTTAGGAGTGCGTGTCAGAGGAAGATGAACCGGGATACTGTCTGTCCGGTCGCTGTACTTGCAAGACTTGTGCCCCGGATGCAAGTGACTTCGGCGGCGCGAACACGCTCCCCCGTCCTACACTGCTCGCCGCCGCCATCTTGTCGATCGCCGCCATTTTGCGACAATGACCGCCATACTAGTAACGAAAGGAAGCGTTAGTTATTTTGTTGATAATTACAGATTTTATTATCTGCGTGTGGATGTATCACGAGTCTTAATCGAACTTGACCACGAAAACATAAACGTATTCGAGACAGAGTTAAAATTTTCAGAACTGTAACAGTGGTTACCGCAAATCAATCATCAATTAATAGTTCAAGACATTTTGAATAATATATTAAATAGGATAGAATAAATTTGTATTAAATAAGGAATAAACACCTCCTAAGAATTTTACCAAGCACCTTATGTATATTGTTGATTGTTTAGAGATAAAGTTCGTTGTTAAATAAAATAAATGAAACACCGCTATCAAGTACCTATTTACATTTTATAAAAAAAAAAAATTAGAACGACAAATAATCAAAAACATTTAAATTTAAAATAAAATCAGTTTAAAATGACAAATAATTTTCTCACACATTGTGCAACACAGTGGCGATTTACAGTTTCCGTTATGATGAAAAAGAATTTAAATACAATAGAATTTCAATTTATTAATACATAATATCCAACGATATGTCCATATACAAATAAGAAAAATATCAACCACTGACGAGAGAACGAAATATTTTTTTAAATGAATATTAAACTTGGATAATAAAATTTTGTGGACAAAACTATACTATATACTAAAACATTAAAATACTTTTGTGTACTTTATTTTGAATAATTGTGAAGAACCAATTTTAGTATTATTATAATTTAACGTCGACTATTTAAAATTACTTGATCGAATGCATGGATAATATTCTTTTTTTTTTTAAATAATATCTAATTATAGACGGTATCTACAATATGGTCATGATTGATGAATTACTTAATAAAATATAAAATAAAATACCTTAATTCGCGTGAGCAGCTCTACAAATTACACAAATGATATCGTAAAATCGATAGCAATAAAATTGTAAATCGGTATTTGAGAATCTGTAACACTAAGCACAAAGTAATTTATTAGGTTGTTAACTCGTTTGTAGATTCAAAGTTTATTGTAAGTTGTAAATAAGTTGTTGATAACTGTAAATTTTTAATAAGCATATAGTTTATTTAATCAGTTTTATCTTCCGATGAATTAGACGCAGTATTTTTGGAGTGCAATTTTATATCTATTTGTACAGACAGTAACGAATGGGTAGATTCTATGCCAAAGAAGTGTACACAAGATAATGTGAGTTATGTTGTAAATAAATATTTATTTTGGAGGACCATTGTTTTGTTTTATTTCTTGACTGCGACCTGCTATAGCTTAATATGGCTGAAAAGAGCTCAAGCAAACCTTCTTTAATAAAATCTATAAGACAGTAAACCCCATACCAAAATCTGTTACGTTAATTAGAAAATATATGTACTTAAACAGAGAAGAGCTTGTCTAGACACAACAACGACTTTATTTTAGATTTGTTATTGAAAAAATAACAAAAATCAATTTAAGCCTTTCCAAAGCCTAGATTTAAGACATAACCAGAAAAATAATATATTTAAGATCTATAGAAATGATGATGTAAATAGCATGCATACATGAATAAATACTTACAATTAGGGTCTCCGTACGCTAGGCGACAGCGGTACGACGGTGGTCCGCGCTGAACTGGATGTAGTAAGGGTAGCCTGTAAGGCCCGCCGCACGCTGGGCGACGCTGCTGCATAAACAAGCGGGTTGAACGCCGAGTTAGCGTAGCCGAGCCACGTGCACCAAAGCCATGTCACGTCCCATACACATTCACAAAGAGAATCTAGAACAAAATATTTTATGCGAAATCATGATGTGGCGTCGTGAGGGGCCGGGTCGTTGAGTTTCCTAAAATATGGTGAAGCGCAATGATGGCTGGCTCATTCGTCATACTCGCGAACGGGTGCTGCTTGTAAGGACTGGTCTGCTCATACTTGTTTATTTTCCATTTAATAATACATATACATAAATAGAACTTAACTCTAATTATATTCACAGTTCCCATGCAAAAGTAAAATGATCATGTATATAATAATTTAAAAAGAAAAACTGTTGAGTTTCTTGTGGGTTTCTCCGCAGATAACGCATATCGGATATATACATACAATAAAAAAAAAATTACAATTTAATGTTACAGATTACAGAATTTAGATTATTTATTTATTATTTTTTTATCTATGTATTCGTAATGACAGACTAAGGATGTATGCACGTTATACTGTCAATGCAAAAAAAATATAAAACTCAAAATAAAACCCTGTATCGAATTGTCTTTGCCCCTTCTATATTAAATAAAACATGAAATGTAAATTGAGAAACTGCAAAAAAATTTTTTGACATACCTATATAATATGGCACATCTATCTATCAAGTTAGTGTAAAAGATTTCAATAGATTTTTTTTTTTAATTTTTCTACATGAAGAAAAAAAAATTTGAATTCTGTTAATATCCTAAATTAATATTATATAAATGCGAAAGTTTTTAAGAATGAATGAATGAAGGTTTGTTACTGTTGTATGGAAAAACTATTCAATGGATTTTAATGACATTTGGTACAAGAGTAGTTTATATATTTAAGGTTATAATCCTTACTTATTATATAGTATACTTTATATATTGATCTAATGCAGGCAAAGCCTTTAAATTTTTTTTTTATACAACAGAATGGCAAACAAGCTGACGGCCCACCTGATGAAAAGTGGTAACCGTCGCCTATAAACATGAGCAGTACCATGGACTAACAGAGTATACTTCAAACCAAAACACAGCCATGCAAACACAACTGATTTACAGTTGAAACACGAATGGGACAGAGGTACCCAAGCAATCGACTTTTGTACTAAGTCTCCCTCTGATATAATAGTAATAGATAGTAATAAAATAAATCCTACTTGCTGGACAGGATCCACAATTGAAGTTGAAATGCCATCTACTAATCATATTATAGAATACAATAACAAATAAATAAATAATTAAATGGATATTGAAATATAATATTGATATAATTTCTTACCAACTGGCAACATGATGAAGAAAGGTGTCCAGCAGGCTAAGAATAAGGACATAAGCATAATTATAGTCCTGGTTGCGCGACGCTGCTTCGGAATCAAACCGCTTCTGAAATATTTTTTTTTCAACGAATGATAACGGAACTATAACTTTACCAGAGGGAGACTTTGTACAAAAGTTGATTGCTTGGGTACCTCTGTCCCATTCGTGTTTTAACCGTGAAACAGTTGTGTTTGCATAGCTGTGTTTCGGTTTGAAGAGTGGGATATGGCGTGAATTTACAGGGTACAGAGGAACAACATCTGAGTCCTCAGGAATGGCAACGCATGGGGGGTATCATGGGCGAAACAGTATACTCTGTTATGTCCATAGTACTGCTCATGTCTCTAGGCGACGGTTACCACTTTACATCAGGTGGGCCGTCAGCTTGTTTGCCATTCTAAGTTGTATAAAAAAAAACCCGTCTGCGCTATCGGTAGTACACTGCCGGGCACTAGTAGGGGTGATAAGGAGAGAATGTAGCAAGTCAGTTGCCTAACGTGACCAATTCAATATAAATCAGTCGTGCTGCTTACCAGAGGGAACCGCATGGAGGAGGACTTGATTGTGAATACCTGACCTGATCATTAATAACAATTCCTTCTCCCCCCCCCCCCCCCTCCACCCTTTGAAATAGAAATAGATACATATTTTTAGAAACACTGCCACATGGATCCAATTTTCAACATTTTTTTTTTATATATATATAAGTATTTACTAAAACCATCAAAATTAATATTATAAAGAGAATTTGGATTGGATTTTCTGTTTGTAAACAATAAACTGGGGAGAAAACAGTATTCCAGAATTTATTCACGTATAGAAAGTTACATTATCAGGCGAGTAACATCATTATGATTATATCAGCCTTTAACTTTCCACTGTTGAACATAAGCCTCCCCTAATCCTCCATAACTCCCCAAGGGGGGGAGTTTTACTAGTAACAGCCACGGTTGGCAGGCGGATTGGCAACATGCAAATGGCAACATGCATCTAGGCTTTGGAGATGTTTTAAGAAGGACGCTGCTGCCCGTCCCTTAACCTCTCTTAGTCGCCTCTTACGACACTTACGGGAAAGGAAAGGTTGGCCTATTCTATACTAGGACCACATGACGTAATAGCGATAAGTAATATGAACAGTATTTAATATTAAAAAAAAACCGAATAAGTTTTTAAATATAATACATATAATAAAAATATACCTAGACGTTGGATGTACATGAAAGATATTTAAAAATATATATATTTGAGAAGTCTTAATAACAGCAATACAATAATTGATAAAAATAATCGAAAATTAGGTGACTAAAGAAATTTAATGGTCCAATAATGGGCAACACCCAACAACCATCCCCTTTTAAAACATCGCCAAAGCCTAACTGCGGTTAACAACACAAAAGTCAACTCGTCTACTAAGCGTGCCGACTATCGACAAAACCCTCCTTATGGGAGGCTTATGTTCAACAGTGGACTGTAAATCTGATGATAAAAAATGAAAATTAAACGGTTTTCACAGATATGTACTTATATATATGTACTTATATGTAATTCGAACTTAAAATCAAGAATACACATCAGTATTCTTGATACTCCACGAAGAATTAGATTTCCAACTTCCAAAATCCACGCGTACAAATGTCGCAGGCAAACATTTTTATATACATAACTATAATCCTGTACTTACAGTGAGACAACAACTTTTGGCAAATGGGTTTTGATTGCACCTGAGGCCTCCGCTGGTGCATTCAAATGGCAGCCTTTCGGAGATGCGGTTCTGAAATCGTAAAAGCATATTATAAAAAACTCAGTTTTTTATAATATGACATTCCTTGCCGTTTCTTTTCATTTCTGATATTTTATAATATATATATATATATATATATATATATATATATATATATATATATATATATATATATATATATATATATAAAGTTATATGCATATATAATTTTTTTTTTCAATTTTCAAATAACAAAATTGTTCCGCAAAGAAAATTGGGGCAGAACCATTTAATTTCAAAACTAAACTAACGAAACGATTTTAGTAAAATTTTTATGGGGACCAATCTTATAGATATTAAAAAAGAATTTTCCAAATCGATTTATTAATGACGTAATTATGAGATAACAAAAAAAAAAAAATCAACTGAATTAAAAACTTCCTTCTTTTTGAAGTCGGTTAAAAAAGGAGTAGATTCTCAATTGATATTTGTTTATTTATTATTTTACAATAATACTTATAATTTATATATGCATGCACTTGTATTATTGCATAAATGCAATATCTTTTAGCAATCCTGCATAGATTTGACTTCTATGTCGATCTCATAGTAATTTTATCACGACTCGGATTTTTCTTTTGTACAGAAATATTAAATTATTTAGAAACATAAATATTTTCTTGTACTCACGCTTGTGTCTGCTGAGCAATTTCGTTATCATTGCCTTGAGGTAAGGTAGGGTTTTCAGTCTCCTCATTGCGATTTGTTGGTGGTCTCTGTAGGAAGAAAGAGCTCATCAACTTTTTGGATGCTATAAACAATTATTTTGAGACAAATATTACTTTTCAATCAGTTATTTAACAGTTTTATTTCCTTATTTTTTTTTTATGCAACTTAGAATGGCAAACAAGCTGACGGCCCACCTGATGGAAAGTGGTAACCGTCGCCTAAAGACACGAGTACCATGGACATAACAGAGTATACTGTTTCGCCCATGATATTTCCAAAGCGTTGCCATTCTTAAGGACTCAGATGTTATTCCTCTGTACCCTATAAATTCACTACCGTATCCCACCCTTCAAACCGAAACACAGCCATACAAACACAACTGCTTCACGCTAGAAACACGAATAGGACAGAGATGCCCAAGCAAATTATCTTATAATCCAAGCAAAATAGTTATCTCTATGGTACTGTTCATGTCTATAGGCAACGGTTACCACTTTCCATCAGGTGGGCCGTCAGCTTCTTTGCCATTATAAGTAGCATAAAAAAATGCAAATTTATAATAGCTAGGAGAAACAGTTAGTACAGGAATTTTAGTTGATATGCCTAGAAAGAACTTACATCCGCACGTTCGCACGGCCGTCCACGATGAGCTCGAATTGGTAGTGGCAAGGATAAAAGGCGAAGAATGCATATGTAGAATCCGACCATCACGCTGGCTGGTATGTAGAACGAGAGGGATATACTGAAGAATACGTAGCTGTCAAATAAAATAAAAAAACGAATTTTAATCGTTAGTAGAATTTTTTTAACATTTTTTTTATACAACTTAGAATGGCAAACAAGCTGACGGCCCACCTGATGGAAAGTGGTAACCGTCGCCTATAGACATGAGCAGTACCATAGACATAACAGAGTATACTGTTTCGTCCATGATACCCCCTATGCGTTGCCATTTCTGAGGACTCAGGTGTTATTTCTCTGTACCCAGTAAATTCACGCCATATCCCACCCTTCAAACCGAAACACAGCCATGCAAACACAACTGCTTCACAGTTGAAACCCGAATGGGACAGAGGTATCCAAGCAATCGACTTTTGTACAAAGTCTCAAATAATAATGATCAAATTATAATGGAAACATTCTCCACAAAACTGTCAATGGCAAAAATCTTGGATACCTTTCCCATGCAAACACAGCCTGAGTATATATTTAAATCCAAGTACTCACCCAACATTGGTATTCACTGTACAGGCTTTAGGCATCTCTCCATCGTGGTAGTGCTTCGGGGAAGGTATGAATGCAGTGGGCAATGCCACAGCAGTAGAAATAGGCCAGACGAGTACAGCGAGAAGTTTGGCCTTCTGGCAACGCTTCGCTCTGGCGAGTGGTGCCGTGATGCAGCACCAGCGCTCCCAGCCAAGAGTACAAAGAGAGAGTATAGATGCTGTACAGCAAAGCACGTCCAGCGTACTCCAACAAGAGCATATCACCCAGTCTGTGGGAGAAGCTGAGAGATAAATAATATCAAATTTTTATTTCAATACTATTTATAACTGTTACTGTGTGCCAGGAATGTTCTCCTCAAGTGATCTGTCTAGTTCTACAGTAAGGGTACACGAGTATGCGACCCCGACGTCCAGACCCACTGCAATTTCTGACAAGTATATTTTTGTTCCCATCCGCAACTTCATTGTATAGGTCTCTTAGCGTGTTTATTCAGCTTCAAAAATCGCTTTGGATGGCTCAATTACACCTTTTTGTCTTAGATATCGAACTTTGAATGCAAAAGCATCCTTTTCCATTCAACTGCTAATATCTCTGGAACTACTGGTCGCACAGCAAGCGGGCGCCGAGTTTCTTTATCTGCATAAAATTTCTAATTAAGCACAGTCAAGAGTTAGTGAAGAAAAAATTTTTTCCACCTCTAACATTCCTTTTTTGGTTACTTGGCTGTATCTTTCTCTATTGTTCCTTTAAGAACCCCTTAAATCCCTGGAGCGATCGGTTCAACGGTTTTTCCCGGACCAATTGATTGAAATTTTGGAAAAAATAAGGGAACAAGGTTTTTGTCCCTTAAACTCATCATTTGTTTTTCAATCTTTTACTTATTTTTCACATATATCAACTTCTTTCACTCACTTGTAACGTCGCCCTCCTTTCGCCATACCGTAGGTGGTGGATACCAGCAACAAATGAGGATTTGTATCAGGCAAGTGACCGGTCGTGAAACCAAAAGCCCAATCCTTATATATTATAAATAAAAACACAACGCCGACCCGAAATAATTGGGATAAAAGCAAGAAATGATGATAATTATTTTTTTTTAATCTAAAAGAATTACAGATTTGTCCAATAGAAATTTTATCAAAATCGGTTCAATAGTTTAGTTTTTAAATTAAAATAATTGGTTTCGCCGCAATTGAAATTTTTTTTTTTTTGGAACACAAAGCGGTCGAGCATTATAACCCCTCATTGTGGCTATTACGACAGTTGTGAACAGGGGAAGGGGGTGAAACGGATAGTTAGTAATGAGGTCTAACAGCCCCATTGCTAACTATATATCCCAACAGGTCGACCACCATGTGTTCCTCCTATGGGTCAACGGACGTACTTTCATCCTCACCTAATATTTCTCACTGGCGCCCCGCCAGCATATATCGATGGCGCAGGCGGGATTACCATTTCATCTCCACCTACTGATTATTGTTATCACAATAGCATTTATTTTCACGCACCTTTGTAGGAAAATTTACGCTTTACATTTAGAAATTAATAAATAAATACTAACTCAATTGAAAAACGAAAAGCTCCCGAGCAGCAGCGATTGGCAGCACAAATACTCCGACCAGCAGGTCCGCTGCGGCCAGGCTAGCCAGCGGGTAGTGAGCTGGGGAGCGTTGTAGCCGCCTCAAGGCAATCATCACTGCGATGTTCCCAGCTACGGTGATGACCGTTATGATCAACATGGCCGCCACTTCCACGCACCATGTCGTGTTGATCTCGCCTCGCAGTTTAAGTATGTTCACTGTACTGATTTCATTGTATTATAACTTTTTGCTGGCGAACTTAGATTCTTATAAATTATAGCTGTTCTTGGACAATGCTTTTGCCACAGGTTATCAAAGATTAAAAAAAAGACAAATACTACCACTCTATTTAATTTTTTGTTATGATTTAGAATGCCAAATTGACAAGTCACTTGGTGGAAAATGGTAATAGTCGCCTATAGACACGAACATTATCATAGATACATTGCGATAAATACGACAGATCTCAACCTGATGATTATGACGATGATATTACATGACAGAATTTGAAATGAAGGTATCCCCAAAAAAATAGTGAAACCATAGTGACCGATATAGTCCGAAGGATAAGCAAGCTGAAGTGGCAATGGACTGGTTACATAGCTCGAAGAACCGATAATCGACGGAGAAGAAATAGTTTTGAGTGGCGACCCTGTACTGACTAACGCAGTATAGGATGATCCCCCCCCCCCCCCACTAGATGGAGTGACAACCTCAAATACATTGTAGACAGTGAATACAGGTGGCACAGGTCCGTTGCTTATAGCAGTCTATAAGGGAGGTCTATGCCTACTGCTAGATACCATAGGCGTGTAAAAATATGCAATCCGTAACTAAAAATATTTTTTCTATATATTTCAAGATATCCACAAAATTCATATATGTCAAAATTCTCTAGTACATTCTTTGATTAATTCAAAATCAGATAACACTGCATAAGACGGTTTCAGCCGGGAGGCTTCGCGCGGTTGGACATTTTTACAACATTTTAAAAAGTGGTTATTGTGACATAACGATAATAGTTGGACATATTGTATCGCGAAGTTTTTTGTAGTTATTGATATTTTCTTCAATATTATAGAACATACTTTTGTTCTATCACCAATAGTTTCCGCAGCGCGACGAAAAATATTTTATAGCATTTTTTTTTACACCTTGAGTTACGTTACTATAGTTTTAGTAAGGATCCCTAATCTTTTCTAGCAATAAATATAGCTTATGTTACTCAGGGTGAATGTAGCTTTCTAATGGTGAAAGAATTTTTGAAATCGGCAAAATAGTTTTTGTGTTTATTCACTACAAACATACATACACACAAAAATACAAATCTTTCCTCTTTATAATATTAGTGTAGATGTAGACATGTGTATATCCAATCATTTCACTAATGCTCCTAATGTTACTATACTTATTTTTCTGATATTATTTTATGTCGGATATAGAAGGTAAATTTTTAGAATTTTTTTCAAATTTAAATGAACTTTGTTAAAAAGTAACGTCAAAATACTGAAACCTGGACTACAAGAAATGCCTTAAATTATTAAGCTATAATCAAGCTATCGAATGACAGAAATACCTCGGTGAGTAATAAATAAAAAACAAAAGATTATAAGATTTGTGTATAGCTAAGTGCTGTCGATGGTTTTTTAAGAAATCAAATCTCTATTTTTTTTATTTCTTTTTTTTTTAAAGTTATTAATAAATGTTTTCGAAACAACATCGTATCTACAAAGCATTTATATACATCACTAATACTATTATTTTGAAATGTACTCACTAATTGTATTTTTCTATTGCAGATAAAGATTCACAGCCTTATTTCTTTTATTAAATTCAGTTTCTTATAACACTGGAGCATTGAACGGGTAATTACCATGTTTTGGATAAAATACCGTTGTTTTTCCACTTAATTTTTGTCTAAACGATCTAAACACAGTAATAAACAAAGTACCGTTATAGTCTTATTTAATTGTAAATTCGTGGGTAGTGTAAAAAAAAAAGTTCGGTGCAATCTTTCTTCAACTCCATATTAAGGCACAGAAATATAACTGTACAGCTTTAATTAGTGTATGGTTGGTTTAAAAGAAAACAACTGAATTATTTTTATTCCTTTATTGTCAGTTACCGGGAAAATATTTAAAACTTTATTCTCCTCAAATTTTAGATTCTTACAAAGAAATGCATTTCATAAAAATAATGATAAAATGTATTTACAGGCGTTTAAAACTAATGTTGTCTACACTAAAATATAATAGTTTAAATTACAAACGGCCCTATTCTTAGTCTATCTGAAAGGCACACATACACTGAAGATCATTTTGTTTTGTGCCCTTTTTTTACATGCATAATCAATATATTTTTACTAAATTTTGAATCACACATTGTACTAAAAACAGAACTACTGTTAAAAAATTACATTTTTAATATGTAACAATTTCTTTTTAACTAAAATAAATCTTGTAGGTACCATTCATTGTCGTTTATAAATAAATTAACATGTTTTCAAATTTAGAATGAATTTAATAAGTTCCATTATATTAAAAAAAAAAGAACAAACTGGCCTTACACAAAATAAACGTGTCATTTGTTTATAAAGCACTTCAATATTCATGTTGGAATGATTATGAAATCGGAATGTATTTAAAATTCGAATTGACGTTCGAAAACAAACAGTAAATTATTTTGTACCTGATCTGATAGTAACGTTCCTCCCTCTTTATATTTATTTATTTATAGGCATTTTATTTAGATAATAATGCATTTAAGGAAGCACGCGTTTCGCTTATGGTATCCTACTTAATCTATCCACTAGCAATACACAATTATTATCACTATTTTTTTAATCTGTCGACAAAGGGTACTAAACAGTGGATTTCAAAATGGCTCCTTGGCACTTTACGATGACACAAAAAAAAAATACATAAAATTATAACTACAACTAATACAACTAAGAAGATCATTCTCGTTCGAATTTAAATATTATATAAAAAAAAAACGATAAAAATACTATTTACAATAATGTTATCGTTTCACACGAAACGTCAGAAGTTTTTTAAACTTATAAGAATTAACACTAAAAATAATATCATACAAGTTGTGGAGTTCCGAAAACAAATTGAGCATTTATTGTGGTCCCAATAATTATATAGATAATAATAGAAAACTTTCAATTTAAAGCGATTATGGAATGATGAGGAGGGAAAAAATGTTAGAACACTTGATACGACATGACAAACTTATGAACATTATAATAGAAGGTAAGATAGAAGGAATGAGGGAAAGAGGGAGACCAAGGTATACAGCAGGCAGATCTTAGAAAAGATTGGTATCGTGTCGTATCAAGAGGTAAAGAGACTCGCTGAAAATCGTAGTGAGTGGCAAGAGCTCCACCGACAAGAGCGCAGCTCTTAAATAGGATAGATAGATAGATAGATAGATGGAATGATGAGATCTTACAAGTACAAACATCGTGTTTATTGGAAATACACAAAAAAATATTAGAGTTGGAACTGTTCATTTATTTTTATGTACAATTTTAAAAATAGAACTTCACTAACGTACTTAATATGTAAAATTTATTGCTTATTTTGATATAAAAATATCTATTTCAGTTGCCACCGTCTAATTTTATTGGAAGTAACATTGGAATGGATCGAACATTCGGAAGAAAACTTCTGTTTAAATTATTGAAACCGAGATTGGTGCCTTTGAAAACAAAAACTCAATATGATAAAATTCATTTGAAGGAACGAAATAGTTTGACTATCATTTCATATAGCATCAATCTCAGATCCAAATAGCTTATCCTAATTCTAAAAATACTGTGTCTAGCACTGATATTATATATGGGTTTTGTAAAAAAATACAGTGTACTTTTTTTTTAAATAAACATGCGTTTAAACATGGCTTGGTATTCAATTTCTTTAGTTCAAAGTTTAAAAAATAAAAACAATAAAATTTTCTTTTTAACCCATTTTCTATATCAGCTCTAGACACAGAATAAATAAATCTAAATACTCTACAGTATACATTACAAAAATTAGGCGCTAAAGAATCACACATAAATAATTTCCCTTCACGGATATTACGCAAAACAATCTCATATGCGAAACATTTCAATTAAAATTAAGGATTCAAAACACTGAGTCATATAAACAAGTAAATAAAAAAAAAACATTCAACAACAACAATTTATGTATCATAAAAATGTCAATAGTTATTAAAGTTTCGGTGTATTGTTCGAAAGACTATTTTTCTACAATCATAGACAAAATTAATATTCTTTTTCTACCATTTTTAAAAGAGGAATAAAATCCTGTCTCTAATAAAAAAAAAGTAAATAAGAAATCTATTGATTGTTCCATATTTTTACTTTTTGGCTGTTGGCTTTCGCCAAAGTCACAATAAATGAAAAAAAAAATGATTGTTCCATAAACAAACTTTCTGATTTTTTTTTATTTAGAAAAGTTAAAATACACCGACAAGTCTTTTCACGTGGCGAGATTATAAGTTAGTGCATCATTAGTGCGCTAAACTATGTTAATCTAGAATTCTAGAGTCATTGCTGTACAAATCAGTCTATACTACGGCACTCTAGCACCTTGAGATTTCTACGTGTCCTAGTTCGTTACTTTAGTTCTCTTATTTTTTTTTTTTTATTTTTATCATAACGTGAAAGGAATAGTCACTAATTACAATTCTTTATTTTTTTTTTACAGTCTAATAATAAAATCTTTTTTAAGTCAAAGAGGACTTGATACTTTATCTCATTTTGCTTGCATACAATAATATTTTTTCTAGTTTTAACTAGTTTATTTTTTATTGCATAATTGTCTCTTGTACAGTCTGCATCAAATATAGTATAATATATTTGAGAGTTGGATATCCGAAATATTTATTTATCAATATTCATTTATTGATGATACTAAAATTATTAATTTATTAAAATTCACTTGCCTGTCATTTATGGGATGACCTGGCGTAATATTTAAACAATCGTGTCATTGTAGTCGTGGTTTATTGGATGCTGAGCTGACTGTACTATTTATTCGTTCTACCATATCGGTAATAATCAAAAGTTCTCTCTCCAATAATACTTATACGCCTTGATATGCGTAGTTAATCACATAACTTTCCGATGTCAACCGTTTACCGCTAAAATATTACATTTTAAAGATACCGGCAAAAAACTTGAACACATCAATACCACGTGACTCGAGTACAAATTTTGCGTACAAACCCGTCATCGCAATTCATTGTCTATGGTCTGGTCTTGTTCGAATTATTTGCCGCGAACTGTACAAATCGCCATTAATATCTCTGTACAATTTTATTGGCGTACAGCCATAGTCCACAGTCAATTTGAACATAACAAAACATACATACGATATAACAAACTATTTTATATATAGATGGCTTCTGTGCCCCCTTTGTTGGTCTGTTGAATGTCGTTTGGCGATAGTGCCGCGCGGTCGGACCAGTCCGAGTGGGGGGATTGGGTTAGCGGCGTCTGGGGGGAGGGCGTAGACCAGTGGTCTGGCGACTCCGGCGACGGTGTGGGGAACGATTCTGCGATGTGCCAACCATATAGACCTGGTAAAAAATCAATATTAGATTAGATACAGAAGGTCTTATGTATACTTCGTCTATGGTATTACATACTTATAAAACCGTGATTTTTCCATAATCACAGTCATACAAATAATTTAAGATGTGTGCGTGTGACGAAACCAATTATTTTGATTTAAAAATTATCTACAGAATCGATTTTGATGAAATTTATATGGTCCCAATGTTAGTGAGTGAGATAAAAAAAAGAATTTAAATGGAGTTGCAACCTCCTTTTTTTAAGTCGGTCCAAAAATGAAAACGTTATTAAAGGTTTCATATTAACTTAGAGTGATAACCTGATCTGCCATCTGCATTTGTGTTTCGGTTTGAAGGTTCGGTTTAATGGGGGTATTATGGGCGAAACAGATTACTCTGTTATGTCCATGGTACTGCTCATGTCTATAGGCGACGGTTACCACATTCCATCAGTGGGCCGTCAGCTTGTTTGCCAATTTGAATTGCATAAAATTAAATCACTGACTATAGACACAATCTGGACCATAGACTTCACGAAATATACTATGAAGTCCATATTGCTCATGCATTTCTTTTCCCGAGCCTAGAGTTTTATATCTCCGTAGGTCTATTGCTATATGCTCTTGAAAGCGAAATATAATCATGCAAGCAGAAGTACTTAGTATCCCAGCGGGGGGAAAGGGATTGTTAGCAATAGAGTTCGACATTGCTAGCAATGTGCCCTATCAGGTCGACCTCCACGTGATTCCCCCTGGAAACCATCGTGAACAATTCTTGTTGAATTCGTCACGATGGGCTAACTGACCTGCTTCATCCTCATCTATCATCCCTCACTGGTTCCCTGCCGGTGTATACCATGAGCGCGGGTGGGGTTACCATTCCATTATCACCCATTAAAAAAAAAAGTACTTAGTATCTGAAGCACTAGTGAAGCAAATATGACCTTTGTATATGGGAATCTCTCTGGTAACTATTTTTTTTTCTAGAGTATAATGCAAAATCATGACTAGTACTTAAACTTACTTATGCTATTGAGGGCAGGATGCTGCCCACCTTGGACCTGTCCAAGCACAGCCGGGTGCGTCATCATAGCCTGCAGCTGAGGGTTCTGTTGTCCGTTCGCAGCGCCTGTTAACAATACACGCAAATATTGTTTTAACATTGTGTATTTTTTTTTTAAACATTTTGATAATAAATTTACCATAAAGCGATTCCCTACTAAGTTTCTTTTTTACTTCAAAACTACGAGAGAACTATATGATAAAGCTATGAATGGAGTTTTACTGTGTGACAGAATATAAATACAAAGATATTTACAGTTGAACCATAGAGCTGAATATTTATAATTGTTTTTTTTTTTTTACACAACTTAGAATGGCAAACAAGCTGACGGCCCACCTGATGGAAAGTGGTAACCGGTAACATTAATATAATTTAATTAATTAATATAATTTATTAAACTTTTTACACAACTTATGTAATTATCGTATGTATATGTATGTAGCAATCCATGGGATCCATCTATGTCCAACATCTTACGGCACTCCGTGTGATGGTATATTTAGGCTAACTTACTGAGATGCGCAAGCGCAGAATACGCAGCAACGTCGAGCTGATGCTGGTGCGACTGATGCGAATGGCGTAAGGCCGCCATGTGCGCCGGCGACGTCGGCAACGACGGCCTCGACTTTCCCGGGGATGGGGATCCTGCAATTTCATTATTCATTTAAGATTTATATATGTATAATTTTAAAAATAGTGGTAGCACTGTATAAAAAATTCTCTACTTATTGTCACGTCTAGAATAGACACGAGATAATGCGTTCTAAATATACAATATGTACTCAAATAGCTCGATAGCGCCATCTACCGCTCCCATTGGTTCCACAGAAAATCGGCGATTAGGCGTCATGTAGGAATGCATAGCCTAGACACTTAGCTGAGTGGTGACCATTTTGGTCGCATAATTCCAAATTAGTTATAAGACCAGAGGGAGATTTTGTACAAAAGTCGATTGCTTGGGTACCTCTGTCCTATTCGTGTTTCAACCGTGAAGCAGTTGTGTTTGCATGGCTGTGTTTCGGTTTGAAGGGTGGGATATGGCGTGAATTTACTGGGTACAGAGAAATAACACCTGAGTCCTCAGGAATGGCAACGCATGGAGGGTATCATGGGCAAAACAGTATACTCTGTTATTTCCATGGTACTGCTCATGTCGACGACGGTTACCACTTTCCATCAGATGGGCCGTCAGCTTGTTTGCTATTCTAAGTTGTATAAAAAAAAAAGTTTATTTTTATATTTCCTTTAAGTTTGTAATTATGTTTTAGTTATAAATGTTTTTAGTATATATGACAAATAATTATTTTTTGTTCGTATTGAACATATACGAACATATATACTGACCTATGTAGGCGTGCGGCGAGGTGGTGTGGTTGCTGTGCGTGGGCGAGTGGTTGGAGTAGGGCGGCGACAACGACGCGCCCAGCGCGCCGCCGCCGTACGTCTGCTGCATCGTCTGACCCGTCTGCAACGTTCACATACACTTACGATCGTCCCACGAATTATCCCACCGCTAGGCACTGGGCGTGACGTACAACAATAGACTTCTAATAATTTTAACGGCGGGGGGGGGGAGGGGAATAATAGGATCATATAGCCCCATTACACAATATACCCTATCAGGTCGACCTCTACGCGGTTCCCCCTGGAAACTATCGTGACCAATTTATTATTGAATTCGTCACAATGGGCTAGCTTACCTGCTTTTTTCTTCTCACCTATCACCGCTTACTGGTACCCCACCAGTGTATACCGATAGCGCAGGCGGGGTTACCATGCCTTTTTCACCCATAAAAAAATATTCACGTATTTAAATTTTACGTGGGGAGTGTTAATAATGCAGACTATCAGTCCCATTGCTAACAATATACCCCATAAGACTGACCTCCCCATGATCCCACTGGAAACCATCGTACTGAATTCCAAGTGTATTCATCACAATAAGCTAACTGACCTGCCTTTTCATCCTCACGTATCATTCCTCACTAGTGTTCCACCAGCGTATATAGTTAGTACATCCATTAAAAAAATTAACGTTACATTATGCGGGACCGTACTTTGATCGGAGATGGGGGCTTGGCTCAAAGATATAAATTTTAAGTTAAACTTTTAGAAGCACAACTGTGAAAACTATATCAAATTTCGTGCAACAGTTTTTGCTTTATGTCGCAACTAATATACAGACAGACAGACAGACAAAATTTCTAAATCTATTGTTTTGGCACCTATTGGTATAATTAAGGCCCCCTCATATTTAAATTTCTTAACTATCTCCTATGTACCTATAGATAGCGTCAATTACAACTATCAAATATAATTAAAAAAAAATCATATTCCTTTTTCGATAAGCCGGTACACGTGTAATTCATGTCAATAGGCGATAGCTTCCTTTTTCCACCAGGTTGACCGTCAGCTTGTTTGCTATTCTAATCGTCTTTAAAAAATCCTCTGATATTGCAGATAAAGAGTCAGTTTATCGAGTTTACCATCAGGCGAACCGTATGCTATGTTATATATATAGGCATACCTTAACGCAGTCCTCGTAGCTGGGCGGCTGTTTGTGCTGCATGAGCTGCTCAATGCCGGCGAACTGCGCCATCGCATTCGAATACAGCGACGTCGCGTCGTATGGCGACGGCATGTCCTAAATAGAGAAGGTTGTTATAAAACTATCATTCTAAGTATTAAGCAATCTATGATTCAGGTAGAGTAACCAGCAAGGTTATTCTGTTTCTGGTTACCCTGTTGGAGTCACAAAAAATCAAAGCAGCAAGTTCAAAGGACAAATGAGATTTTTTTTATTTTTTTATTTAAAGGGAATAAAGTTTATAAATCGGCCTATTTACGAAATAGGAGCACAATTTATGTTTAAAAACTATTTTATATGAATTCATACAAGGGGGTTTATAATGAGTTTATAATTTCTAAAACCTAACAGTTTTACAAATTATATTTGTACTAAAATTCTTTTAGAATTAAATCCGCCATGTACACATACATATATGTACTAATGAATAAATAAATAAATAAAGAATCCGCAAGTATGTACTAAAATTTAAGACGAAATAGGCCACTTTGTTGTCACGTGACATAGACCTGTAAAATTTTTAAAAAGTCATCATAGGTCCTAAGGAGACATGAAAAATACTTAACATAAAGTGAGACATTTATTTCAATGAATAATCTCGTACAGTCAACCTTTGAAAAGAAGAAAAATCAATAGAACAGTGGAGGATAAAAGGTAAAGAAGTAACTATTTTACATTAGACAGGTAGTCCGAATTGCAATCCAATGTATTCAAGTATAATCTTGGATTACCTATTCTAAAATAAAGACTACTAGAAAGTAGGTTACGCTGGTTTAAATACTTTTTTGTACACCAAACCGGTAACCACGGACGTTACATTCAGTCTGTGATAACCAGAAACAAGAAAAAAAGTAATCCGTCATTATTATTTTTTTGCTGGCCAGCAACAAAAATGCTAAAACATATAGTTTATATAATAATTCTAGGTGTTTTACCTGTAAATTTTGGAGTGGCGATTCAACAGGGCTGAGACTAGAGCCCAGACTCTCGACACTCTGTGGCACCTCTTGTGCCACTTTCTTATTGTTCTTTTTTACACTCGGCTTCCTGTTGATGTACCTTCGAATTATTATCAGATATAAACATGGAATCTGAACAATAGTATACAATTTATTACAGATAGTTGAACCTTTCGACTCGTTGCAATGACGAGCTATGAGAATTGTCGATGATCCCAGGCTCACAAGCGGTATCGAACCCTTAAGTCTTAGGAGAGATTTTGCCTCACTCTGCGTGTTCTACCGCCTGTACAATGGATATACTCAGAGGAATTGTTCAATATGATGCCCACAGCCACTTTCTACCATCGTACGGCTCGCCATCGACAGGGAGTTCATCATCATATCCTACAGCCTCAATAATCGCGTACTACGCATTTTCAGAGTTGTTTCCTCCCACGAACATTTAGGTTGTGGAATGAGCTCCCTGCCGAGGTTTTCCCAAGAGACTACAGTATGGGGTTCTTCAAAAGGGGGGTAAAGAGGTTTCTCCAGGGTCGGCAACGCACGCGTAACACTTCTGGTATTGCAGATGTTCATAGGCTACGGTAACCACTTACCATCAGGTGGGCCGTATGCTTGTTTGCCACCTAAGCGGTATAAAAAAAAGTTTATAAGTAAAACATCGTAATAAGTCAGAACCAGAGTCAAGTATTATTGAACTGAGTTATCACTGCTCAGGGTTTTGAACAAACTGTTTGCCAATTTCACGTACTTTAAACCTCATATATTGCCTATTATATGTGACATGGAGCTACTTCTCACGCATCGTTATTTCAAAGGACTAAGACATTAAGTCTCTGGCATCCAAAATTGAATTGGCTTCAACCTAAAGGGCTAAGTCCTTCTAGATCGAAACCCAACATACCTTTTACGACAAAAGTGAGTAGGAGTATGGTACCTACCCAGGAAAAACACAAAATCATACCAAACGATAAATAATTAGTAAAACGAATATAAAAATGTCTCTTACCGTCTAATCTGCGTGTGTTGTAGATTGTTGTTGTCATACACTTGGTCTTGCGGACTGTCGGGGCCGGCCTTTGCCCGAGGCTTTTTGGGTTTTCCTTTTGCGGCTGTGGCGCTGATCACTGTAGGCTGGCTTAGCAGCTGAGGGTGTGGGTTTGGGGATGCTGCAATGCATAAGGGAACATTAATATATCGTATTTTATTCATTGAAAGCACTTTGTTGATGATGGATTCTTTAGTACCAAAGGTAGGAATGCTACTAGCCAAGTAGCATTCTCAAACTTTTATGGCATAGTCAACCTTTTGGATGATCAGAAATCCTTCATACTGCTTCTGAGTTCAGGTTATTACCTGTTGCACTTCGACCTATCGAACTTTTTTGTACTTCCTTCTTTTATGTAGTTAATTTCTTGTGTATTCTGGTTTATTGTTGAAAGGTACTTACGCATGAGATGATGATGCTGCGGCGGTGGCCTTGGACAGTGCTCATCGAGCAGCCTCATAATATCGTCGTGCATCCTCTCCTGCGCCACGTCCCTTGGCAACCGATCCATATGGTCTGTAATCTCTCTATTCGCCATCGCATCGAGCAGTGCTCGGCAGGCGCCATATGAACCTTCCCTCGCTCCAAGGAAGAGTGGTGTTTCATCCTGTTGTAAAGAAGAATTTATACACTGATAAAATGTCTAGTTGTATACACTTCGTCTTCGCCCGTGGGCATATCGTGGTGCTGAATAACTTATAACCTTTTTCAAGAAATGAGTTATTAAATGCAAATAAAATTAAAATCCGACTGGTGTGGTGGTGGTGGTGGATATTAGGGCATTCAAACAAACTCTTCTATTTTATTGTATAAGTATAGATCTATGGTGGCTTAGAAGGTCACATTGCAAGGAGTGGAGATCCTAGTAATACCTGTGATAAGAGTCAATCACTCAAAAAATGTTCACCAAAAATTAAGCATTTTTGGAAGTGAATGTTAGTAGTAAAGGACAGACAATTATGGAAAAAGTTATAAGCGCCTCAAATCGAAATTTCGGCTCTAATCCAGAAAATCTCGAAACTCTAATTTTTATTAATATTTTACAAAAATACTTGACAGATATTTGACTACAAAAAATACTATATTTTCACAAACATTTGAACATATGACACATCATAAGTAGATACCTATTTCTTTTCGTTTAAAGACAAAACGAAAAGAACAAAGACAGTCCTAGTGTTGCAGGCGTCCATAGGCTACAGTGATCTTTTTTATTTTTTATTTTTATTTTATTGGCACATAAAACCATAAAAAACTTAAGTAATAATTACATTTGTGATTTGGCTGTGATGATTGATCATTTACTATCAGACGTGCTGTATGCTCGTTTACCACTTTTGTAGTATACAAAAAGACCTACATGATTCTTTTTCCTACTTATTTATTTAATACAAAAATTCACAGCTCTTAAAAACACAACTTACATGCTAAGTCTCTTATGAATACAGCCAATAACGGATTTTATTTATACAAATGAAAATTATAATTCTAAAGCGAGGTAGGCAAGTTAGAGTGGGTGTATGCAAGTATTATAAGTGCATGTATGAAAGAAACCATGTACAATAATGAGTGTCCATAAAGTCAGATTAATTAATATACAAAATACTAATAACTAAAAACCAATTATAAATGTACCTTATCGTCTTGCGCGTCTCTGTTCGCGCCGTGCATCAAAAGCACGTTAACAGCGTCGACATTGTTGACAGCCGCAGCCCAATGAAGCGCTGTCTTGCCGCTGTTGTCCGCTGCATTGATATCAGCGTCAGCGTTGATCAGGTCCTCGACCATGCCCTCTATAGCTAGCCTGTGAATTATAGATGAAGTATTATTTAATTGAATAGGAATTCACAAAATTGGCAAATATACCTATCTATTTTCTTCGCGTCTAGTTCCAAGCGGGGCAACTAGAAATAACTGAATTTTATTTCCTGGAAGGAATTGTCTAGCGAAAAGGCCGCCTTTTGATACTTAGGCCTTTCCATAGACTGTCATAAGGAACTGCCCCGAGTCGTCTGCATCCAGTGCTTTTGTATTACTTCACCTTAATTATTTACTGTGAGTATTTTTTTTTGATGTAACTAAGTATAAATAAATAAATAAAATAAGTCTCTGTTCTAGTACATTTTCTTACTTCATCCAGGCGTCAAAGCTTCTATCCATATATAACTAAATCTTTCTCTTAATCCACATATAAGTTGCCTCATTCAAGGCTCTTAACTCCATCCTTAGATATTTTTTTATACAACTTAGAATGGCAAACAAGCTGACGGCTCACCTGATGGAAAGTGGTAACCGTCGCTTATAGACATGGGAAGTACCGCGAACATAACAGAGTATACGGTTTTGCCCATGATGCCCCCTATGCGTTGCCATTCCTGAGGACTCAGGTGTTATTCCTCTATACCCTGTAAATTCACGCCATATTCCACCCTTCAAACCGAAACACAGCCATGCAATCACAACTGCTTCACGGTAGAAACACGAATGGGACAGAGGTACCCAAGCAATCGACTTTTTACAAAGTCTCCCTCTGGTCAAAGATAACACACGGTCTATCCAATCATAACTAGTTAGACCAGATACTCTCCGGTATCTGCATCATTTGTTTCATCCACCATTCTTCCGACATACTTTCCGCATGTCCGAATAAGCTGCGTAATTCTAGTATTTTCTTTCAAACCAGCGAGCTGGTACTCTCTCACTGATCTACTACAAGTCTCATTAATAAAACCTACCTAGCAGCCAATATGAGAGGTGTAGTCCCATCGTGCATTCTGGCATTCAAATTGGTTGCTCTGTTCCTGAGTAGTATTTGGAAGACGCCCATAGCATCAGCGGCGACTGCCGCGTGCAATGGCGTCCGTCCAGTGTTGTCTTGGGAGTTTGCGTCTGCGCCGGCGTCCAGTAGACGTTTCGCTGCATCGGCGCGGGCGTATCTAAAGGTTGAAATATTAATGTCAGAATTATTTATGATCGTCATATTACATTCGGAGAAGGGAAGGGAATTGTTAGCAATGTGGATAATGATCCCAATGCTAGTAAAATCTCCTGCCAGATTAACCGTCCCCTAGAAACCAATGAGGTTTATTCCTAGACAATTCGTCATGATAGGCCAACTGCTCTAATCCTGTTTTAATTTAAGAGGCAAAATTTCTTTTATCCGTACTAGAACAAATAAGCCCGGTAGATGGAGATAAAGTAGTCCCCTAACAACATTTACTGGATTAGCTAGATAGAGAACAAAATCTTATGATAAATTACAAAGATACCTTGCAGCTAGATGTAAACTAGTCTCGCCCGTCTTATCCATAGCGGCGTTCAATTGTGCGCCCTGTGCAACCAACTCCGATATGATATGTGCTGTCTGCTCGTCTTCAGCATCAGAGCCGGTATCCAGACCACCGCCGCGGACCGCGGCTACCATTAGCGGGGTCATACCGAGGGGTCCACGGGCATCTACGTCCACGTGACCATCGTGCTGTAACAAAAATGTTTCATAAATATTCACAATATAAATTTAAATAGAAAGGAAACTGATACGGTTAACAAAATTAACAGTCAACAATGAAATTCTTACCACGTGAACTTAGTTATGACAGAGATAATATAGTACTATACTAATAGTTATTTCTTAACATACTATCTTTACTACTATTACCTACTTAACATAGGAGATACCTTATACTTATACCTACCTAACCTAGTCTGGTTGGGGGAAAGGGGTTGTTAGCAATGGAGTTTGACAGCCCCATTGTTAGCAATATGCTCTATTAGGTCGACCTCCACGTGGTTCCCCCTGGAAACCATCGTGAACAATTCTTATTGAATTCGTCACGATGGGCTAACTGACCTGCTTCATCCTCATCTATCATCCTTCACTGGTGCCCCACCGGTGTATACCGATAGCGCGGGTAGGGTTACCGTTCCATTATCACCCATTAAAAAAACCTAGTCTGGTTACAAGATTTATTGACTAGATCCAATCTATGTAAACAAAAATTCATTTACTTTTAATATAAATGCATCCACATGAGAACAACTAGATCGAATTGACTCATTTCATTTTATAGTTTTTAATAGTCTGATTTTAATAGTCTGAGGTTTATATAAAAATAAAATTAGATAAAGAACCTGTTGTGTTAATCAGTCATAAATAAATAAAATATAACTTACTATGGCGGGTGGTGTCATCATGCTCGGCGGTACTCTAATGTCTGCCGCGTCTAGGTGCTGTTGTGTCCATACACGGGAGTCGTGACCAGCTTCTTCATAGTCCGTAATAACGGTGTGGTCTGACGCATAGCCACCTGGAGCTCCGTTGGTATCTCCAGGTCCACGTGCTCTCTTCGCTCGCGGAGGAACTGATCCATCGTCGTCTTCATCCGACCAATGTGGTGGCCCCATATGTCCCCCATTGATATCCAGATCAATACAGCCCATCGATCCTTTGTTCAATGTCCTCATTTCTTGTCCATCTGGCCCACGGCGTCGGGAGCGACGTCTCGAAGAAGAATTTGTACGGATAAATCCTTCCGGGAACCAAGTCACGCCTGCAGCGCGTTTCCTCTGAGCGGTCACTAATACCCCGATAAACAAACCTGCAAGGAGTACTAATATGACGCCGATAAAAACATATTTGAAATTTGTCGGAACTTCATCGGTCGGGGTGGTCACTCCCTTTACTTGAAAAATGGGGAAATCCGGTGAAAGTGAGTGCTTTGACGCTGTAGCAGCTAAGAACTCGGCTGCTTCCCGCGCAGAGAAGAAACACTCTGAACCAGACATAGTGGTGCATTTCCTGTTGTCAATTTCCAAATATACGTGTACTCCTTGCTGAGCCCTCTCAGTGTAAATTATATGATGTTTCTTTCCAATTTCCGTATCCTGAATACCGAGGTCCCTAGTCCCTTGCCACGGGTACACCATATCATTGCCAGAATGATCCTTCTTTATCAGAACTGTCGTTCGCAACTGATGGCCCAAATCTCGCAAAAACGCAACAGAATTTTCTTTGAACGTCTGCATGTCCATTAGTAATATGACAGACATGACTCCTTCAGCCAATTCTGGTGGTTCATTCTCACAATCTAACCCATCCCAATTACACTCAGCATTGTTGCATCCATAGTCACAGTGTCCGTTAGCATAGTGCTTCTGACAGTACGCATCGTATATAGGGTTGCATTTTTGCAAGGATTTCTCACAATCTCTGCCATCGAACAAACAAGCTTGTGTGTTACAGACTTCATTGCATTCACCGTTCATGAACACCTCCCAGCACTTGATAGGAGCTGTACAATTTGCCCAAGGATTCGTTATACCCAATGAACAGTCGTTACCATCGAATTCACAAGCGTAAGTATTGCATTCCTCATCACATCGGTGATCACCGCGCTTCTCTTTGCAACCTAATTTTACACAGTTTTCTCTTTGGAAAGCCAAGTCGAGTTCGAGAACCCGTTCGGGTGAGAGATTCATGTTCGGATTCTTCATTCCTGGTATTGGACTTCCGTAGCCTCCTCTAGCATGAGAATCGTGGATATCGCAGTTCTTGCCAGTCCACTGGGTCGGACAGTAACAAAGGTAGTCCCCAGGTTTGTCTATACAACGGGCTTCAGGATGTTTGCATGGATTACTAAGACACTCATTCATGGAATCTATCTCGCAATTTACCCCAGATAATCCAGACATACAGTCACAAACGTAATCTCCTATTTCCGATGTTCTACAATAACCACCATTCTGGCATGGATTTGAATCACAAGCGTAGCCCGAATGTTCGCAGTTTTTACCATAGAATCCTTCATTGCAGAGACATTCATGCCCTCCTTGTATCGCAGTGCAAATACCTCCATTTTGACAGGGCGAATTCGCGCAGAAATTCACTTTGGCATCACAATGTCTACCCATGTATCCAGTTTTACAGTTGCAATGATAATCGTTGACTAGTTGTACACAATCTTGAGTGCCTGGAGCCCAGCAGGGATTTGACAGGCATTCGTTGATATCGCCCTCACATCGTGGCCCGACGAAACCCGGAGGGCACTTGCACTCAAAACCTCCAACTCTATCAATGCACGTTCCGTTATTATGACACGCGTCTTGTTTGCAATCGTTCACATTTATTTCGCAGATTTTGCCAAGGGTTCCGAAGGGACATGAGCATGAGAAGCTGTTAATGAGATCGTGGCAGGTGCCCCCGTTCTGGCAAGGATTCGGCAAGCAATCGTTGACGTTGAGTTCGCAGTTCTGTCCCTGGAAGCCTTTAGCGCAGGTACATTGGTAGGTGCCAACGAGGTCCTTACAAACGGCGCCATGCTGGCAAGGAGCAGAGTCACACTCGTTGATCTCTTTCTGACAGTAGGAGCCGGTGTATCCGTCGAGGCAATGACAGCGGTGTGAGTTGCCAATGTTTTCGCAAGTGCCATTATTGCACAGCTGTTTCAGTTTGACACCTGAAAATTAAAATTAAATTAATACTGTTAAAAACTATTAGACTATCAAATAACTACTAAATCGTACTATAAAATTAAATGTTTAGAAGAGAATTTATTTAAACATACAACTTTTACTTATTTAATTCAAATGTTACATGTTTATTTGTTTTTACTTTATAGTAACTATTTTTAGTTGCAAAAATAATCTAAAATCAACGGCAAAGGTATACTCTAATTGTTCGTGAACTTTGAATCTAGTTTAGTAATGATTAAGTAATAATAATAATTAAGTATTAAGATTAATATTATCCTCACCTTTCCTAATAGCGGCATCGTTGCACGACACCATTTCGACATCGCAAAGCTTTCCGGACCAGCCAGGAGCGCAGGTGCACGTGTACTGTGGCCCCTTTTGGGAACACGTTGCACCGTTCTCACACGGGTCATTTTCGCACCTGTATAAAATTATTTATTTAGTATATAATATAATTATTTTTCAGCTATATACTCGCTTTTTAAATGAATCTAACTATTAAAAAGAAAAATAATGCTTATTGATAAATACCGAACTTTAAATCTATTTGATACTTGAAAATGTTTAGTAGGAAAATTCCATATGGATCTGTCGTTTGAAAAAAAACATCAAAAATATAGGTTACAATTTCTATATAAGCGAATTCAAGGAAGTATCTAGTAACACATTAAATATAATCAAGAATACGTACCACTGGACAAAAGCATCACAGTGTTTCCCAGTATAGCCATATGGACAGTGGCATGTGTAGTATGTCACGTGATCGTGACAGGTGGCGCCGTTGGCACAGGGCGAGCTGTCGCACATGTTGATGCGGAATTGACAGTTGGAGCCAGTGTAGCTGAAAGAGAAAAACATACAGATAGAGTAAGACATAAAGAAGTAAATGTAGAAACTGCCGAATGTAATAAGAGAACCGTTATAGTAGCAGAAGATTAAAAAATAATAGAGTTTTCATTAAGGAAAGTGTAGATAGAGAAAGATATAAAAGAAACTATAGGACTAGAGTAATAACAAGAGAACACAATAGAATAGATTGTATGAACTATAATGATAAAAAAAGTATATACTAATTTATTTATAAAGCAAACTGTATAATGGTTTACGTGGTAGAAAACTTAAATTAGTAGAATTAAGATGTTTTTATTGGGTGGCAAATTAACTTATAGACTATCTAATTAAAAACAATAACTACAACTTGAGTAATAATATATGGTTCTATATTGTAACTCTAGATGTTCGTTGCCTGGTTATTTATATATGCTATAGCTTGAGTATAAAGCGATTAACGTGATTGTGTCATTTATTATACCGTAACACCATAGATTTAATTCAATAGACGTTGGTATATTTTACCCAGGGGGACAGGAGCAGTTGTACGAGTTGATCCCATCGATGCAGGTGCCGCCGTTCATGCAGCTCGAGTCGGTGCAGTCTTCGTCGTTTGTTTGGCAATTGATCCCGGAGAAACCGAGCGGGCACGTACACGTGTATGAGGCCACGTACTGTATGACCACATAATTATTGTTATTATTATTTATCTTAATGGCGAAAAAATTAAATCATAATTAGGAGAGAGAGAGAGAGAGAGAATAAGCTTTATTTGATAATATATATACTATGACAACCTTGGTAGTTATTATTATTATTATCGTTGTGTAAGTCCCGGCATAGAATAAGCCACCCCTTCAGTTTCCGTGGGTGACGTAAGAGGCAATTAGTTGCTTCTTACGTCACCCACGGAAAAGGAAGTATTCAACTATAAGTTTCCTTAGGGAAACTTATAGTTGAAGGATGGGTAGCAGCGTCCCTCTTAAAACATCACTAAAGACCTAATAAGACGGTTGCTAATCCATTTACTTGCTTAATAACTACGAGCTAAACTTCCCAAATTATGGGAGAGACCTATATTCAGGAATGGACAATTAATGGCTGATATTGAATAGTATCAACCTTGGTAGTGTAGTGGTTTAACATACTATCGTCTTCCAATGATATTCAAATATTTTTATTATAATAATAACAAAATTATATAATGCAATGCGAATAATAAATATCTAAAAATAATGTATGCTAAGTATTATGTAATGAAATTAAAAAAAATGTAAATGTATGTAAATATCAAACCTGGTTACAAGTGGCGCCGTTCATACATGGCCTGGATTGGCATTCGTCAATGTCCACTTCGCAGTGCTTGCCGGCAAACCCACTTGCGCACATGCAGTTGTAGTCGCCGATGCTGTCCAGACAAGTGGCGCCGTTCTGGCATGGGACTGTAAAATCAACTTTAATAAGCGCACTGCCCTCTAACATTACTTGTGGTAAAGTGGAAGACGAGATCTCGGACTCCTAGAAATAAACTGGTAGGCAATTCGATAGTATTATCAGTCGCCTGTGACTTCTTTCGGTGCTGCACTTATTTTAATTTTATGTTCATGATATGGCCTTAGGAGTGAAGAGGAGGCAACCAGGAAGGTAGCGAAATATAAAGACGTTAGACGCTATAGGCTTAAAAGACTTCATCCAATTTCATTTTCGAGTGAACAACATAGATAATATGTTCTCGGAACGTCAAATACACTAAGGCTAGCCCTGATAACTTTTTAAAAGACGTTAATGAAACGATAACCCCGCCTGCTCTATCAATATATGCTGGTGGGCTACATGTAAGGGATGTTAGGTATAAGCGAAACAGTTGATTCGTCGTAATGAATTCATCAAGAATTAATCAGGATAAATTTAATATTTTAATTCCAGGATATTTTAACCTGTACTTTCATGCTACTGTAATTTAGTTGAATTGTTTATATGTCATTGTTTATTTATATGTTTTTTGTGCAATAACGAGTTAAATAAATAAATAGTTTCCAAAAGGAACCACTTGAAGGTAGTCCTGATGAGTATATATATGTATTTAGCATTAAAGTCGCTGGACCCCATAACTAACAAGTCCTTCTCTCTGGCCATGAAGATTACACTAGTGCTAAGTTCAATCAGGATACTCAAAGTTCGTCATGCATCAATAAAATCAGAGACTGCAATTTCGAATAATAAAAACAAAAACTTTTCATTAACCCTAAAGTTTAGAAGCCCAAATATATAACACCCTCTACAACAGGGGTTCCCAAACTTATTTTGTCTACAGCCCACTTTGGGAATAAATTATTTTTTAGCGACCCCATTTTTTCACCTACTTAAAAACCACTATTACTTCAAATTAAATTAATCAATTATTGTGAGCTATATTAGGGGAGATTAAACATTAATTCTAAACGAGTCTCTATACAACGTCTCCATTTTTTTTTCTAGGTCTTTTACCGCCCTTTAGGCCTGCAGCGCCCACAAGGGGGCATTATCGCCCACTTTGGGAAAGTCTACTCTATAATAAAAGGTAACTCACATGAAGCGCAGTCATCGGTGTTAATAGCGCAGTCCTTGCCCTCGTAGCCGCGCGCGCACAGGCAAGCGTACGAGCCCTCAGTGTTAATGCAGGTGGCCTCGTTGTGGCACGGTGCCGTGACCAGGCATTCGTCCACGTCGCGCTCGCACAGCGCACCCGTCCAGCCCACCGGGCACTGGCACGTGAACTCTGCGTACGACGCCTCCGCCACGCAGCGGCCGCCGTGTCGACACCTGTGTGATTATGAAATTGTGACTACCAAAAAGAGAGTAAAATGAAGAACTACCCTTATATCTAGAGTAAGTTTACTATTGTAATCTTTTGAAGGAAACAATAAAATATCTATCTATCTATTCTTCCAAGAGAAAGTACAAACGTATCTATTAATAGATGCATTATCACTAACGAATCGATGAGATAGAACAAAATAGTGATGTACGCTGTCTTGTTCTTTCTCATATGATTGTTGACCGTAGCTATTCTATCGATAGATTCGTTTATATCTCATCTAAGGAGGCTGAATAAGATGGCCACATGCATATATAAAAACAATAACAAAAGCGAATTCATAGTGGAGTCTTCTAACAATGAAATATTTGCAAAACATGATAATTTTTCCTCTGATTGTATACTTTAATTTTATATTGAATAAGTACCTATCACAGTATTGTAAACATGAAGGCTCTTAGTTTATAGGTGAGATTATAATTTTACAATTTAATAATATTAGAATAACAAACCATACATTATATCTATTTGCGCTTACTGCAGAATTAAATCAGAAAGAGTATCTTATTTGAAAACTTTAACTTTTAAAAATAGTGATACTAACTGGTTAGGCGTGCAGGGATCGAGTGTGTTCTCGCAGTTGCGGCCGGAGTGTGGCGGTGCGCAGACGCAGCGGTAACCGTTGACAAGGTCGATGCAGGAGCCGCCGTGCAGGCACGGGTTGCCAGCGCAATCGTCGATATTAGTCTCGCAGTTTACACCTTAAACATTGTACATGGAATTTAAAAATTTGTAATTTTATTAACTTTGTTAGATAGAATAAAAAAAAGTGTAGAAAAATTGTATGTAATGGTAAAAAATCCTTAAGGGAAAGAAATACAAAGAATATTTTGTATTCATTGCGAATATATCTCAAAAGACATAACATGAAAATGTAAATACATAGTTCATTAATTTAAAAGAAACATAAGGACAAATAATTGATTACTTACCGGTAAAACCTAGTATGCAGTCGCACTTGTAAGCGTTGAGTCTATCATGGCAGGTACCCCCGTGTTGGCATGGATTTGAACTGCACTCATCGATATCGCGCTCACAACGTTGTCCTAAAATGCGCAAAAGCAATATTTATAATGGTAAGACACAAACATAGCTTTGTAGAAGGAACCATAATTAAACTAATAAAAACGTCTTTACTGAACCACAATTACATTAAATTAATAATAAAAAAGATTTTTTTTATACAACTTAGAATGGCAAACAAGCTGACGGCTTACCTGGTGGAAAGTGGTAACCGTCGCCTATAGACATGAGCAGTACCATGGACGTAACAGAGTATACTGTCTCGCCCATGATACCCCTCATGCGTTGCCATTCCTGAGGACTCAGATGTTATTCCTCTGTACCTTGTAAATTCACACCATATCCCACCCTTCAAACTGAAACACAGCTATGCAAACACAACTGCTTTACGATAGAAACACGAATAGGACAGAGTACCCAAGCAATCGACTTTTGTACAAAGTCTCCCTCTGGTAAAATGCATCCCTCTCTATCATATTTTTATATTTAAAAAAATTAATGATTATAAAAATAAATGTTTAATTACCTCCATAACCAGGTAAACAGTGACAAATAAACTGATTGACACCATCCTCGCAGCTCCCACCATTTGTGCATGGATTTGAAGCACATTCATTAACATCAGACAAACATCTGGAAATAAAAAGATAGAAATTTTATTGCACATTATTAAAACGATCATTTAACATATAATACAAACATATATAATATTAAATGATACACATACCGAGCATCATAGTATCCCCTTGGACATTCGCATTGGAATCCATTGATCCTGTCGATGCATTTCCCGCCATTGGCGCACGGGTTTGGTAAGCATTCGTTGATGTTAGTCTCACAGTGTTGGCCAGTGAAACCGGGTATACACTCGCATGTGTACCTGAATGTGATGGAACATGAATATTGGTCCAAGTTGAATTCCTTGGGATACCCCAAATCATATTATTGGGCCTAATAGTGATCCTTGTAGTACACCAATCTATTTTACTACATTGCAAGCATTGTTTACTTAAAATTAATATTCTTACAAATCTATCTACTTTAATTAATATATATATATAGTAAAGAGTTTTAATTACAACAACTGTAATAAAAAATATTTATAAAATATATAAAATATTATATATAAAAACGACTGCTATGATTCAATCAGTTCATAATAAAGTCAATAGAAAACTTGCACAATGAAACTTACTTAAAATAATTGCTGCATGTAAACAAAGAAAAAAAAAACATATAGTACTTCAATAACAAACAGGGAAAGAGAATTAATTAATTAGATAAAACACTGAATTTGACGATTACTACAATAACAGTAGTCATTAAATTCAAAGTTAGTTTAGAAATATGCAAAGAAAACGAACCTGTTAATGCCATCTATGCAAGTAGCACCATTCCTACATGGGTTCGAATAACATTCGTTGACATTGATCTCGCAGTTGCGGCCCGAGGTTCCCGGCTTGCAGCGACATTGGTAGCCATCTATCAAATCTTCACAATGTCCTGTAGAACACAATAATACAATATTCATGATATTTAGAATAAATTAAATTTTCTAATCTATACTTATAAAATCGTTTATCCTGACTGTCTATCTACGCATTGCCAAAATTACTAGGTTTAGAAAGCTAAAACTTGGAATAAGATAGATATATTTTCGAACATAAGTTAAGCTAAGAAAGGAATTTCGAAAATTGCAACTTAAGTTGAAAGACGACTCCTCGCGTACATAACCACAGGTAACAACTATTTTTTTAATTATATTTGTAATTCAATTACTAGAGTTTATATACTCCCAAATTGTTTCGGTTTTTTTTTTATTTTTACTTCTACTTAATAATTTTTAGAAATTTAAAAGAACAATGACACTTTTTACATTGACCCTTGTCAATATAAAAAGTATACTGCCATGAAAGGACCTTCCCTTTCGTGAAAGTATACAGAGGTCATGACTTTATTTAAATACATGCAAATCAGCATAACAATTTTGTTAAGCCATCGATCATAGAATATAAATTAGAGACTTCAAAGCTAGATATTATGTTAGTAACAAACCACAAAGTACCTAATAATAAATGAACTTTTACAAAATGATGTTATTAATCTAATAAGAGCATAAAATACTGTATTAAATACCTCCAAACTGGCAAGGATTGGACTCGCACTCGTTGATCTGAGTCTGGCAAACCCGGCCAGTGTACCCGGGGTGACAGTTGCAGGTGAAGCTGTTGTCACCATCAATGCATTCGCCTCGGTGGCACGGTGCCGAGAGACAATCGTTGATGTTCGTTTCGCACGACATTCCTGTATTAACAGTTTTGTTTTGGATGAATTATCTTAAAGTCCTAGATATTTTATTAACGGTAATATAAAAGTGAATATCAAAACTAAGAATTAAGAAAAAAATATCTTTTCTAAATCAGTATTAAACATTGTTTAATTTTTACAGTAACAATATTAATTTTTTGAAGGAAGTAAAAATAACTTTTTTGTTTATATTTATCATTGATATTTTAATGTGAGTATTGTTGGGATTCATCATAATCCAACTCTCAGCGAAGACCATAATGAAAATCTGTTTCCTGCAAAGCTCTTTGCTTATATAAAATCATCAATAATGACTGCTTTTTGAAAATTAATAGGACCTACTAGTAGAAAGGTTAATGTTAAAATCCCTAGAGATAAAAGTAGTTGTTCTTTATAGTTTTAAACTAAATTCTCATTGGATTTTCATAAGGATGGTTCACTCGTACTTACCAGTGTAACCAGGAGGGCACTCGCAAGTGTAGCCAGCGATGGAGTCATGGCAGGTTCCTCCGTTCCGACACGGGCTCGATGCGCAATCGTCGATGTTCACTTGGCATCGGGCGCCGGTAAAACTGCGAACAATATTTTATTATTATTGTGGAAATGGCAGTGAATATACAGGGTACAGAGAAATAACACCTGAGTCCTCAGAAATCAACGTATGGGGGGTATTACGGGCAGTATACTCTGTTATGTCCATGATACTGCTCATGTCCTTAGGCGACGATTACCACTTTCCAGCCGTTGGGCCATTAGCTTGTTTGCCATTCTAAGTTGCATAAAAAAAATAACTCCAACAAATATTTCAAGCAGTGTAACAAAAATATAAATGTGTTTATATAATTTTTTATACATTCTTGTTCAAATAAAAAAAAATTGTTGCAGATAAAAAAAATTAAAAAGTACACAAAACGAATTTGGAGTGATTTCTTCCAGTCAACCTTAAGAATCAGAAAGGAGAAATTGCCGAGTGTGTTGTTGTAAGTCTTTTAATTTGAGCTTAGTATAGATAGTGTAGACGCCGTAGACTTTTAAACATAGAATATCTCAATAATAGAACATCATAGAACATATAAGACTCCCGTGTCATGTCATCAATCTTTGTTCACGCTAATTTCGGAAACTGCTTAACCGACTTTAATGAAATATTATAAATGTATATTGTTCGCTCCAATTTCAAAAGTAGGATCACAGTAAGATATTTTTATCCTGATGAAAAATAATCAAATTGTCTTCCACAATCTGTAAGTATCCTTTCAAATAAAAAGGTAATTTTCCAAATGGATTTACAGCTGACCGAGTTATGGGAACCTCCATTTTTTTTTTAATTGATCGACAATGAATCCAGTAGGTGACAGTATGGTGAAAAACAATGTCTTCGGATCAAAAAATTTTAATATAAATTGAACTAGATGCCGCAACTGCATAATACTATGTTTGGCTCTAAATTAGACTCAATAGTATTGACTCCGATTATATTTTTTAATATAATGTGAGTACATACCCGATGACACATGTGCACCTGAAAGCGTTGATCATGTCATGGCAAACCCCACCGTTGAGGCACGGGTCGTTGGCACACTCGTCTATTTCAACTTCACATTGGATACCCGTAAAGCCTGGAAGAAAAAGATAAAATATAAGATAAAATAATTTATACTAGGCCCGTCCCAGCTTCGCACGGGTGGATATTTTTACATTTTAAAAAGTGGCCATTACGGCTGCACACGCGACGGAAACTTAAAAATGGAGTAACTTCTCCCGTTTTCCCAACATTTCCCTTCACTGCTCTGCTCCTATTGATTGTAGCGTGATGAAAAGTATACTATAACCTGCCCAAGAGTATGAAGAATAATTGTACCAAGTTTCATTAAAATCCGTCGAGTAGTTTTTGTTTCTATAACGAACATACAGACAGACAGACAAAAATTTTACTGATTGGATTTTTGGCATCAGTATCGATCACTAATCACCCCCTGATAGTTATTTTGGAAATATATTTCATATACAGAATTGACCTCTCTACAGATTTATTATAAGTAGATATTTTAAATTGGATGAGCCGCTGTAAGCAATACCTCCGACGGTCATACATCTGTCAAGCTATGTAGTTAGTAATATTTTTTATATTATTTTGATGGCAAGCAAGCATACGACCCGTCTGTTGGTAAACAAGATTAGCATAGCCTATGGACGTCTGTAATACTAAGGGTGTATCTTAATACGCCATAAAATATCAGATCATGGTTATATATAACTTACATTTATCCTTTAGAAATATTATGGTATTTATAGAAAGTTGGTCAAATATTTAAAAATATAAGATAAATGTAATGATATTGACCGCTTCGCATGCATTTCTCAGAATTATTTAATCTTTGAAAATTAATAAACTTTGAACATTTTGTTACGACTCTAGTGCAGTGGTTGGCAACCTTTTGAGTCAAAAAAATAATTTACATAATTTCAAGTTTATAAGGAGCCACAAAAAGTTTTCTTGCCAACAATAAATAGTAATATAAAATACTTGCATAAATAAAATTTTGTGCCTAACCTTCGTTAATCGATTCAGAACGATTTTTATTTTATTTTTTTTTTTTTTTTATAAAATAATTAATATTTGCGTATGAAACTAAAGAGCCGCAGCTTCACATCCAATGTGCCGTATGTGGTTCAGGAGCCGCAGGTTGCCGACCCCTGCTCTAATGGAAACAGTCTGTAATAGGTAGATGTAAGTAATACTAATAAAAAAAATAAACTTAGAGTTGTGTTATTGTTAATACCTAATTAACACTTATGTTCCATTTTTAATTTCTTATATTCCATTTTTTTTTTATTAGTAATAGGTATTTTTATCTTTGGAAAACTATTGCAATCATTATAACGGATGTTATTGGAATGCTAAACGCAGTAATTGCAACTCCTAACTGCCCATGTCATAATCGTTCCACTTCGATTCCAATTCAAATTGGACCTTATTTCTTAATCATTACCATACTAAATCCTCTATCTTATAAATTAACACAAATTTGCTCTCGACGATTATGTCTTCAATGTGCGTTAAAAATGAAACTAATTGGATGGATTTAAAGATTTAAATTGTGTGTACTTTGTTCGGGACATGCCTCAGGCGGGATATTCTAGCTCAGACCATGTCCAACTGTGTCCTTTTAAGACACGAATGTGACTAAACGTTTTATATACACTTTAAGCCAATGCACGAAAGATGATTTTTGTTCGCCAAGCTCAGATTCAATGTTACATACTTCAGAAATCACTATCCCGCCAAATGCGGATTGTTGTTCGATTTTCAAACAGGACTACAAATAAAAAGTTCATTTTATATCGTATTATATTGTTTACAAGGTTCAAAATAGAATAAAACGTGACAATAATGTAGATCCTTAAGCAGAAGTCTCTAACCTTTTAAGGTTTTAACAAGTAAAATTGGTATAAATAAACACTTTAATGGTTTCCCACAGTTTTTATCGCAATTAAAATGTACAGCAGTTAAATAAATTAGAAACAAATTCGTTAATTAAAAGCACAATATTACAAAATGTTTTACGCGGAATACATTGATAAGATTGCTGTCGAAGCACATAATATCGTTGGATTCATTATGAGAACTGGTAACCCTACAAGGATATCGATGCCATAAAATTATAGATTATACTTAGATTATATAGACAGAGCTTTGAATATCAAAAAAGAGTCAAAATTTAGTCAAGTAATTTGACGTTTGGCATACTAAATTTGATACTTTCGTTTCAAAACAAAACTAAACGCGCTTTTTTTTCAGTGTTGCAAGTAATTGAAGTAAACTTTTTGCAGATTTGCTGGACTTTTAAATTTGAATTAAGAACCATTGTTTTTTGATATAAATACTACGCACGAGTACGTCTCAGAGAGCAATTATTCGTCAAATTGACGTTGATTTTCTGTCACTCGCCCTAAAATGACCAAACTGTCTTTTTTTGAGTCGCAAACGTCACCCACCCGCCTGCCAAGCCTATCAACTACTGTTAAAACCTTCCTTATGGGAGAGGCCTATATTCAGCAAAGAACGGTTAACCGCTGTTACGATGACGATGTTACAATGAGCTGATTGACCTGACTTCCCCTATCAAGGGAGAGAGGGATTGTCAGTAATGGGTACTTTAAACCCCCTTGTTAGGGGGAAAGGGATTGTTAACAATGGAGTTTGACAGCCCCATTGCTAACAAATTGCCCTATTAGGTCGACCTCCACGTGGGTCCCCCTGGAAACAATCATGATTGAATTATTCAATTATCAAAAAACAGAGGGCGCTGCTCTCACGTAAACAATACTGTCCTATGTTAAAATATATTAAAAATATTTTCTCCTATTAATCCATAAAAAAAACTACTAAAAACAAAAGTTAAAAGTGTAGACTACATGTGACAGTGTTAGCAGCGATTAATAACACAAGAATTTTGCAAAATTAACGAAATTTATAAATGCCAGTGACAGCGTACGTAAACAGAAGTTTATAGTGTATATTTAGTGAAAAATCAAAACAATACCAGAACTAACTCATCGATGGTTACAGTGCATAAAAGTTGTGAAGTTATTTGTGTTGTGTTTTTCGAGATAAAGTTCTTCGATGATAAAAGTAATTCGATAAGTTATACCTTTTAAAACTACCCACATTAAAAAAAAAAAGAAGACGTATTATTTCACAGCGATACCTAGATTATATAGTGCAATTAAACAATCAAATTACGTAAGTTGAATCAATTACTTACATAATCGAAACGGTGCCAACTATTAACCATAAGATGACGCTTCAATGTGCAGGATGTTTTCAAAAAATCAAAACCAAAGAATATCTTACATGTATTTTATGCAAAAAGAATTATGACCTCGAATGTTCCAATGTTTCTATTCAAAGATTCCTAAATACAATGACTAAGGAACACAAGGCATCTTGGAGTTGTCAAATATGCCGTTGTCAAAAGCCAAAAACAGACAACACAAATACTCCTATTCGATCATTGCATTCCAACGTATCCTTGAAGGAAACCTCTGAGTTTGGTGAGGATTTCGTCACAACAAGGAAGAAATGTAATCGTATAAATGTATCATCATGCTCGGATGTGGATCTTAGTATATTAGGAGATACACTGGAAGCTGAAAATATTCAAAAACAAAGTAACTTAGCATCATACCATACGAAAAATCCAGCCGAATCTACCAATCTTACAGTGAATTCGACAGACTTGAGTGTACTTCTGGATACGAAGTTAGAAAAAATAAAACAATCTTTATTGAGTGATATAAGGTCAACAATAATCTCAGTAACTACCTGTGAAAAATTGAAATTAGAGTTAACAAAAACTACAAGTATTTTATCAAGCGAACAGGATAGCCTCAAAAAAGATATTAATAAAATGAACAAAACGATAATTAAACTGGAAGCAGAAAATACAAAACTTTGTAAACAACTACAAGAAATACAGGAACAAATTGCAAAGTGTAATTTAAATTTCTCGCAATCTGAAAGTAATATAACCGATATAAAAAAGAAAGTAGTCCTTTATGGTCTTAGTGAACAAGAATGGGAAAACTATAATGAATTATTTGACCGAATTGTATATATATTTCACGAAATATTGAATATAAATGTAACTACCTATATTGAAGACATAAAGAGAATCGGAAGAAAAAACCATGCAAGACCAGTAGTAATCGAATTGTTAAGTAAAAATATAACCAAACATATACTTCAAAATAGACGTCTTTTCAAGCACACTGGTCTGTCTATATCTGAATTTTTAGATGACGAGATGCTACAAAATAGGAAAAAATATATAGAAATCCTTATTGATGCTCGACGTAATGGTCATCGAGCAAATATTATAAATAATAAGCTAATAATCGATGGTAGAGAATATAATACACTTAATACACTTAATACTAGTTCAATTGACCTAAAACAAAAAAATAATCAGAAATTAAACAATGAAGCAACCGCCAGACTCTCCTTATCTGCAAGTAATCCTGAAACATCTTCTATGCAAAAAACATTTCGAAAATAAATTCAATATATTATACCAAAATATAAGAAGCATAAAAAATAAAAAACATTTACTGGAAGCCGCAATCGAGGAAGATGGAAATTTACAAGCTCTCTGCCTATCAGAAACTTGGATCACGGAAAGAAAATTGGACTTACTACATATGGATGGTTTTAAGTTGGTTTCAACATACTGTCGGAGTAACCAAGAAGGAGGAGGAGTATGTATCTTACTGAAAGAAGATATAGAGTGTAAGGAGCTTAAGGATGTTGTGGATTTGTCTATTGAGTCAATTATTGAGTTAAGTGGAATAGAGATACCTAAAATGAACTTAATATTAATTAATTTATATTGGCCAAATAAAAACAGAATGCCAGAGATATTCTATAAATCACTGGAAGATCTCTTACAGTTGTTACAAATAAAATATAATAAAAGGAATGTAGTTATAGGAGGAGATTTCAATATAAATATTTTAGAATCATCTTCATCTAATTATCTATTAGATCTTATGAGGTGTTCGGACTTCCATCAATATGTGAATGAGCCTACCAGAATAACGAACAAAAGTTCTACAT